AAGTTTGGGGACAAAAATACAAAATTTTTCCATTCCTCTACAGTGGCTAGATGAAGACACAACATAATCATTACTCTAAAAGATGATAATGGATGCTGGATAGCTAATCCTGAAGAGTTGGTTGTTATGACTGTTGATTACTACCAGAAGCTGTTTAAGGCTGAGGAATTAGATGATGGTTTCTTTCCTATCTGGGGTGCTTATCCTAATCTGTCCAACAATGAGTTGTTCATGCTTGCTCAGAGACCTAGTAAGGAGGAGATTAGGAAGACAATTTTTAAAATGGGGAAGTTTATAGCCTCTGGTCCGGATGGCTTGCATGCTGTCTTCTTTCAAAGTCAATGGGGAACTGTAAGAGATTCAGTTTGTAAGCTGGTTCAGGAAGCCTTTAATGATCCAGATAAAGCGTGGGAAATAAATAAAAAATTTATTGTTTGGTCCCCAAAAAGGATACCCTGAGAGTATGAAGGATTTTCGTCCTATTAGCCTTTGTAATACAAAGTCATTACAAAGATTGTGTCAGAAAGATTAAGGGAGCTGCTGCCCAGGTTAATCTCTCCTAACCAGAGTAGTTTTATTAAGGGAAGACAAAGTGCTGACAATATAATAATAGCTCAAGAAGTCATTCACTCAATGAGGAGCAGGAAAGGGAGGAAGGGTTGGATGATGATAAAAGTTGACTTAGAAAAATCCTATGATAGGCTGAGCTGGAGTTTTGTGAGGGAAACAATCAGAGACATTGGCTTCCCAAGTTCCTTATGTAACTTAATCTCCAGCTGCATATCCTCAACATCTTTTAAGCTTTTGTAGAATGGGGTTGCTTCTAGAGAGATTATTCCAGAAAGAGAAATTATACAGAGGGACCCCATCTCCCCCTATATGTTTTTCCTTTGTATGGAGAGGCTAGCTTATCTCATTCAAATGGCTATGGATGTGAAAGCTTGGAAGCCAGTTGTGATAAATAAAAATGCTCCCCCTTTATCTCATTTGTTTTTTTGCAGATGACATAATTTTGTGTGTTGAAGCTAGTATGGATCAAGCTTATGTGAACAATCAAGTCCTGAAAGTCTTCTCTGATGCTTCTGGGCAGAAGGTGAGTAATGAGAAAACTAGAATCTTCTTCTCAAAGAATGTCAGCTTTGGCAAAGCTAATGAGATCAGTGATTGTTTGGGGTTTAACATCACAGCTGACTTGGGCAAATACCTGGGGGTTCCTTTGCACCATAGAAGGGTATCGAAGAGTTCATTTAGTCATGTTATGGACAGAATGCAGAAGAGACTTTCCTTCTGGAATCAAAACTCTCTCTCTTTGGCTGGTCGTACTACTTTAGCCAAAACTGTCCTTAAAGCTTTACCTACTTATACAATGAAATCTGCTACCATCCCTGTTGGTGTTTGTAAGGAAGTGGAGAAGCTTACAAGAAGCTTTATTTGGGGTTCTAGCCAAAACCAGAAGAAAGCTCATCTAGTCAGCTGGTCTAAAATTTGTAAACGTAAGATGGAAGGGGGCCTGGGTCTTAGGGACCAGATTAAAATTAACAAAGCTTTCTCTATGAAGCTAGGCTTTGGTCTTCTTAATAATGCTGATAATATCTGGGTGAAAGTGCTCAAGTCCAAGTATAAGGTTGGGAATGATAAGATTCCTAACATCACTGTTTCTAAAAATGTATCTAATACTTGGAGAGGAATTCAGCAAGTGTGGGAGCTTGTTCAAGTGGGTTCCTTAATTCTTCTTGGGGGTGGCAGAAGCACAGAATTTTGGAAGGACAATTGGATCCCTGGTGTTGGCAAGTTGATTGATAAGGCTCTGACAGAAATTCCTGAGGAAGCCATCAATTGGAAAGTGGCTGATTTCATCTCAGCTGAGGGAGATTGGAACTGGAGTATATTGGATCAATGTTTGACTGAAGAGATTTTAGCTGTTATAGCAGGTATCCTTCCTCCCAATGTAGGTGGTGGCAATGACAAAGTGATTTGGAGACACTCTCCATTGGGTTTGTTTTCTATTAGTTCAGCTTATTCTTCTTTAATCCCCCCTCAAGATAATCCTCAACCCAAAGACTGGATCTTAGTGTGGAGATGGGAGGGCCCCAGAGGATTAAATTCTTCTCATGGCTCTTATATAGTAACAAGCTTCTTACCAATCCTGAAAGAGCTAGAAGGCACACATGTCTGAGAATTCTAGATGTCAAGATCCTATAGAAGATAGGGACCATATCTTCAGGAAGTACAGGTGGACGAGAGAAGTTTAGGACCACTGGATTGATAGCAAAGGGAATAACAATTTTTTCAGAAATGATGTTGACAGTTGGTTTAAGTTGAACCTCAAGTCTAGGGATTACAATTGTAAATGGTATCTGAGATTTGGAGTTATCTGTTGGTATATGTGGAAGGACAGAAATAATCTCATTTTCAATGGTAGAGGTCTTAATCCCCAGGATTTTTTCCATCAGGTTTCTATTAGCATTTTAAATATTGAAAATACTAATGAGATTTTGATGACTGCTGGTCTAGCTGAGGAAACTATGAGGGAAGTTTGGATTAATTGGAAAGCCCCCACTGTGGGTTGGATCAAGATCAATATTGATGGATCTTATAGAAATAATGGTTCAAATTTAGCTTGTGGTGGAGTTATTATATATGCTTTTGGGAATTGGGTGCAGGGTTTCAATAAAAATCTAGGATATGGAACTGTGCTTATGGCAGAATTGTGGGGTTGTTTTATTGGATTGGAGTGGGCTTGGCAACAGAATTATAGAAATATAATCTTGGAAGGAGACTTAATGATGGCTAAACAGTTGCTTGTGGAGGGGTGTGTTAATACTCATCCCTGTTTTACAAATGTGAATAGAGTTAAGGAGTTACTTAATCTCCATTGGTAGGTACATATTTTACATACATATAGAGAAGGCAATCGAGTTGCTGATTGGATGGCTAAACTCAGGGTTGATGATGACTGAGATACTCACTGGTTTAACTCTCCTCCGGATGGTTGTAGGGACCTTTTGTTAGAGGATTATAGGGCACCTTGTTGCCCAGGACTGTTTCTTTGTAGTTTGTTTTTGTTGCTTTCCTTTGTTATCCAAAAAAAAAAGACGGGGTATTTATTCCTTGTTCACACTATAAATAAACTAAACTCTTAAAATCTTACCTTAGCCTTATCTGTCTTAAATTTTTCTTCCCTTTTTCTAATTCATAAACTTCAATGGATAAATTTGGTACTTTAAAAAAATGGAACAAGAGGTAAGAAAAAGGAAGAGCTTTAGTTATTAGTTTGGAATGAGTATGGTATCTGACAAGGAATTGAGAGAATGTAGGGAAGGAAAAATGCTTGTATGTCCAACGCCCGAAAAGGATTTTGGCACTGCGAGGGAAAGTGAAAATTTCAGGTGGAGATTAGGTGTTTGCATGTATTCTATTAGGCCAAGAGTAGTATGTCATTGGTGAGGAGGGAAAATATCTATATGTCTCGGGAAGGTTTATTCTTATTGATAAGACTCAAGCTAAAAAATCTTCCATTTGTTAGTATTATATTTGACCATTGGCTTACAAGGTTTTAATTTCCACATATAGGAATAAAATTTAATGTTTCTCCATTTTTCCCTTTTGTATAAAATTTTGACGTATTAATTTACTAGGAAAGAAAGTCTTCTAAAAAAAGTACCCAAAAAAAAGTCTTCTAAATTTTTTTCCTAATTATCCTCATTTTTTCCTTCATTATATAATCAAAATCTATTTTATTGAAATTGATTGAAAGGAAAATTTTCCAGAATGTTTCACTATATACTATTTAATTGGGAAAACTTCTAGAATTTTTAATTCTAATTAAATTTCTTAATGTAAAATTTTAAAAGGAATGAGGTGCTATAGTTGTGTCGGGGTTTCAATCTTCAAAGAGGTTTCTGAAATTGGACTTTTTGGAACGCCTTTTTGAATGCTCGAGACATACTATTTTTACAGCAATGGCAGGCCACATGACACTTTTTGATTGCTTAGGGAACATATTAGGGATCGTGTGCAATGATGCATGCAAGATAGCTTTCCCTATTCATTCATGTTGTTTGTGAAATAACTATTTTGACCCTCTTTTTTTATTGGGGTTTTACACATTTTTGCTTCTCTCTTTCAAATTTCTTTACGAGCGGTTTCATATCTATTACTTTAGCTTTCTGTTTCCTTTCTTATTTTCATGTTCTCCTAGCTTTCTTTCCTATAAATTCTCTTACTCTCACCATTACTTAGCATTATCAAGTTGTTTTCTTCATTATTCAGGTAATCCATCCCTTCTTAAACTTTATTTCTCCTATTTTTTGGCAATGTTTTGGGGGTATAAGAGTACGTTGTCAAAATAGTTGTTGCAGGGGGTCTTAGGGGGTTCCATCTTCATTTTCTTGAGAGGGGATGGAAAGTTTCATTTGGTTCTACCCCACCATCTTCTTTTGTGTTGTGCCCCCCGAGGGTTATTTATCCTTTTGGAAGAGGATACGGTGATTAAGCATTGTCTTCCTCTATATACCGTCGTCACTTTGTTAGGGTAGATGCTCAATACGCCCTTCCTCCTCATTCTACTAGTTGGTTACGCTTTAAGATGCAAAGCATAATAGTTTCATCTTATTCTGATTTTGATTCTTCTAAAACTTCATCGCCTTTTGAGAGAATGGAGAAACATCTTCATGAATCTTTCTCTTCTCTCAATTGCTAGCCTCAGTGTCTCTTAAAGGGAGTGGCCTATATTTGTGATAGTAAAGACAAGCCCATTGAACTTGATAGGGGAGGAAGGGAAAGATTCCAGAATTTCAGATTATATAGATACCATGACTATTCCTAATCTTATTATAACCTCCCCATATGATGTTCCTTGCTCTACTTCTAGGTACACCATCCGTGGCAAGACTTCTATCCCGCCTTAGCAAGTGGAATCCGATGAGCAGTGATTCCCAGAGCTCAACCAATTACAAATTCTCCATAGATGCTAGCCTTCCTTTGTTAGAGAATTACTCATGGGTCCCATAAAAGGATTTTGGACCTACCATCTTATGGAAAAAGCTGCTCTTCAAGGCCTAGTGATTGGAGGGAATAAAAATGAAAAGATTTCCTCTAAGAGGATTTTTGTTATTGGGCGAGGTAAATGCAAGATAAGTTGCATATTTTCCTCTTATATTGAAAGCGACTCTAATGCTAATTTTCCCGTTTATAAGCCATCATGCCTTGCAATTTCATTTCCAAGAGAAACTTCTAATCCTCCTGAAGCATTTGCTAGGGTGGCACCCCAAGATGCGGAAGAGGTTAAGTTCTACAAAGTTGTCCTTTGTCCAGAGGATAAGGTATGCTTCTGATGAGAAAGTGAAAAGGAGCCCTATTTTGTTCATTTTTGCTAAAGCTTATTTATTAAGGTTGACATCCATCTTCTTTTTACCGAATTCCAACTTGTCTGCTTGAATCATTTGGAGGTAGCTCCTAGGCAACTATACCCCAACACATGGGCCTTCGTCCGCTCTTTCGAGTTGCTATCTGAAGTTCTTCTTATGAGGCCCGCACTAGGTTCACTCTTCAATCTTTTTGAAGTGTCCAAGTATGATACATGTTGGGTAACAATACGGGCAATGAAAACGAAGAGGATTTTCAATGTTTTTGAAAGCTCGATGAAAAATTGACGGGACAAATTTTTTAAGATTATTATCACTGAGGAGAATTACCATGAGTTCTTCCATTTTGATTCAGATGTTCCCCTGTTTTCAAGAGCTTTTATTCAAGGAAGAAAGGGATATTGTATATTATCTTAAACGACTTGCAAAAAATCTAGGGGCTCCATTCAACTGCAAAGAGTTGTTGACCGTCCCCTTGACATTGCTGAGAAACTCATTGGCATATGTTTTGGTCAATTTATTTTTCGTTGTTTATTACTTATTCTAACTTGTTTTATTTCTTATAGAGACAGAGATTCTTGTTGGAGAGTAAGATAAAGTTATGTTGAAGCACTTGAAGTATCTGTGGAAGAATCTCGTGATCAAGCCTCGTAGTAAGCCTCCAGTGAAGAAGGGTGCTAGTTTCTCTAGCCTTCTATTCTTAAAGCATTTGAGGTCCAGTCAAATCCTAATGTTAATAATTCTGGATCCGTTGCTACTAAGGAAAAATTTGGGAAGAAAACCGTAGTGGATGGGATTTCAAACCTTGAATCCCAAAGGATTCAAACTGATGATATCTTGGGCTTCGATGGCTCTAATGGGGTAGTCACAAAAGCGACAGGATAATTCAACCCAGCTGTCCATAGGTCCATTTGGCAAGTTGCACCACCAACGCATGGTATTTTTCCTCAAGAAGAGCAAAAAAGTTCTACACAAAAGTTTGTCACCAACCCCTGCAAAGGACATGGCATGCAAATATATGTTTAGGTGATCTTGAGGATTTGTGAGTCCTTCATATGAGCTAACATTTGAATTTGAACTAAGATGATATAAGATCACAATTTGTTAGAAGTTAAAAATTAAAGACATTGTATATCCATATCATATTTTCAAAAATTGAGAGGGAAAAAAGGATTTCTATGATTGAATCATGGGTGTTAAGATTTGAAAGGATTTTCCTTTAAAACCCTAAGTATGGTTGTGCCCGAGATAGACCTATTAGGAATATGTCTTCCATACTCAAGTGGGGAGATGAATTGTGTATTACAAAATTTTAACAAATGCCCGCTTCTTGTTTCTAAATAATCATTTCAACTAAACTATGATATATAAAATGCTTATCAATACATTCAAATAACCCATTATATATATATATATATATATATATATATATATATATATATATATATATATTCTATCACAATTGTACAACCTATACTAGCATATACAAGATATCAAGGAGTAAGTAAAGTGCTAGAAAATAAATGGTTAGGATGAATGCATACTCGGTTATCCTGTTTCATCCACCACCACTTGTGACCTATGTCTAGATTGCAACCACTCAATAGTTTTTCACCATATACCAAGCTTCAATGGATGCTTGATAAATCGCTACAACCACCAAATTTTTGGGTACTTGGTAACCTTACAACTTCCACCAAATTTATGGGTATTTGGTAATCTTCACAATTCTTCCCAAACTTTTCTAGGTGATGGGCTACCTCTCAATCACTAAGGGTCTCACTATCCTTTAACTTAATAATATAATATGGATTGTGTTTGGAATTGAATAAACACTTCTAAAGTGTAGATAATACAAATTAAAGCTCTATGGGTATATGATCTTCTATAAATGAGCTCAGAAACTTTAAATAATCAAGAATGAGTTATGCAAGTGTTTGATTAATGAAATCTATAAATAAAGGCTAAAATAATGATTCAATAGTGTCTGTGATTATTTATAGCTGTTGGAGGTGAGTATTTATAAGTTTCTAACAAAATATAATCGTTGGAACACGTTCTAGAAAGCTCATATCGAGACATATTCGGATATATCAGCCCCTATATTTGAATATATGACATGGTTGTATCCCGACATGCATATCCTGATATGTCATTTCTCATATCTGGATATATAATGACAACATGTCTATTTTACTTAAAAAATGCATTCCTTTCAATTTAAAAACCTTTCTAACATTGTAAGCACATGTAAGTGACCATTGAAAAGATGTTTATAAGTTCAAAACATGTTAAACCACTTTCCATCCATTTTTTTGAATGATTTTTCCAAGAATTTCAAACACTTTGAGAATATGTCATTTGAAAAATACTTTGAGCTCATGCAATGCAAATCAACATGTACCCTTACAATTAGATCTAAGTCCTAAAACTATAATCAAATAGAAGCAAGGACTTAGCTTTATGCATTAATATTTGGATCTTGAATCTAGTTTTGGACTTAATGTTTGACTTGTTGAATTTAACAATTCTTTGATACTTTGTAGAACTTGATATATACATTATTTTACTATGACTTGACAACTCTTCTCTTTTGTTGCCTCTTTGTTATCATCAAAACATATCTTGTATCTAAGAGACCAATTAAGCTCCTTACAAACCTAGCTACCCATGGTCACTCTTTTTCTCTCCCTTGATCATTCTTGTGTCCAAAACACACCAAAAATGTTAGTATATATGTGTCCTAGAGAAAATCTGTTTTAACAAATAAACACCTTGTATTGTTTGGTACTTCATGATTTATATATTTGACCACACTTTATCTTTACCATATTTATGTCTCGCCTATATTTTATGGCTAATAATTGTAATAATTCCAAAAAAAAAAGATAAGTACCCTAGGGATAGAACGAGTGTTCACGGGAGGATCTATGATAGGGATCATGATCATGAGAACTCGAGGACACTACATGTCTATTGCCTAAATCTTGTTCCAATTCTTGAATCACCAAGATAGGGCATTGGTGACCTTGATCCAAGTGTATTTATGTTTGTGGCTAATTGGGCCTAATGGGTCACATACTAAGATTTTTCTTGATTGCTTTATCTAGCAAGTTTGGGCCAATAAATGTTATTAGGCTTTTTCAAGACTCTAGGTGTAATTGGATTGGAGTTGGACTCCAAGCCCAATCATGTCATGAACCCCATTTGGGATATTGGTGAGAAATTAGTTTCTCCACTAGGATGAGATTGAATTCTAATTTGAGTTTAAATTTTAATTTGAGTTTAAATTTTAAGTTTGAAATTTAAATTCGAATTTTAAATTCAAGAGATTAGTTTGTTATAGATAATTTTGAATTGGCCAAATCTATATCTAATAGAGATTGGATAGAGATTTTTCTAACAACTCTTTTATTTGAATTATGAATTTAAATAATTATTGAAGCAACAATCAAGGGATAAGATGATGGTGATAGGCAATTTGATATGGGAATCTTCTAGATCCCATGTTCAAATTCAAGCTACATGGATATGATCCACTGGAGTTGAATTTTGAATTCAAGCTCCTCTTTGATTGCATTACAATTTAAGATGATTCTAGAATCATGCTTGAATTTCTAATTTCATGAAGTGTCAGTAGTGACCATTTGAATTTTGAATTCAAATGAAGAGATTCTCTCTCTAACTTCATGATAACACAATATCCTAAAAGATAAATAAAATCTTTATGCATATGGGCTGAACTAGCGTGACTCTATTATGATTCTAACCCTAATATGATCACAAGATAAGTGGCGCCTGGTGTATGTGTTGTTCATCAATCAAGTATTTTCGCCTTCTCTCTTTGAACAAGAACCTTAGTTCTTGACTCTTATCATCATTCTCTTGTTCCTATTGTTGCAACCTACATCATTATAATCTTGAGAAAATTTGTAATACCCCATATTTTTATTAATAAAATAGTAATAATAATAATATAATAATAATAATATAATAAACTATAAATTAGTAGTAATAATATATATGTATATATATATATATATATATATATATTATGGTGATAGATAACAAACTATAATATTAATTTTACCTTTAATAAAATTATTTTGTGCGATATGAGTGCTATTGAAAAATAATTTTAATACTTTGTAATACTCTAGATTATTTATAATAAAATAATATTAATATGTGTGTGTGTATATATATATATATATATATATATATATATATATATATATATATATATATAAGATGATAAATTATGATTAATTGATTATTAATTGATTGATGATTTATGCATTAATGTTTGATTGGTAATGTTTGATTAGTAATTTGATTAGATATAATGAGTCAATCATGAGTCAGCTTTGAGTTAGCAAATAAGTTAATTATATTATAAGAAATTAAGAATAAAAAGAAAATAGTGTATAAAGCCAATATCTGAGCCAGATACATCAGTGAGGAATAAGGAAATAATTGCACGAGAACCATATCAGAGCCCAAAACTTTAACTATAAATAGAGGCCTAACCTAACCAAACCAATTCACTCTGAATCCTCAATAATTCTCCACTACTCTTTTTCTCCTTTACACACTCTCTCTCTCCTCACTTCAAATTTTTATTTTTATTATTATCTTTCTTTGGTTACCAACCGCTTCTCTTTCCCAAATTGTAGAAGTCACCAAACAAGGAGACCAGGTAATCCTAATCTCTAGAGAGTCATAGGTTATATTGATATGAATTTTGATATATGTAATCATAATCTCTAGGTGTTCTTAGGTTAGTTTTATATGATATTATTTATATCACAATTCTTAAATTCGAATTATTACATGTGATATTTAGGAAATTTTTATTGGAAAAATAATAGAATTTTTATTTTGAGAATAAATGGATATGATTAAATTTTCATATTTTTATGATTGAATAATTATGATAATTGATGTGATGTGATTGTATGAATGACGATGATTAGATTTGGGTTTTACTATGATAAATGTTGAAGATTTGAATTGTTATATCCTTGAATAAATATGGAAGTTATAATGACCTTGAGTAATAGATATATTGAAAGAAGAAATTTTCAAATGTGATATGATGATTGAGTGTTAAATAGTGGGAGGATAGCTTTGGGATGGTACATCCCAAGGTGATGAACACAACTTTTGGGCTTTATGCCTCCGATGTGAAACTGATGTGAAAAAGATTATTTTCGTTCTTCCCAAAGTGGTGTCTGGCAGGGTTTTTTCCCTGGGTACTAGTAGCAACTTTGGGAAGAGGTGTGCACACTAGGAAGATGTGAATTGATTATGGCCAATTTTGATTATACGTGGCTGGTAACAGTGGTTATTTCTCGGGTCACGGGGTAGACTGACAGGGTTTCCCGGGTCTACCATGGTTCTCTTCCCACTAAGTACAATGAACTTAAACATGATTAACAATGAAATGTTATTTGATTTGATTATGATGAATGTCATTGAATTGTGAATATTACCATTTATGTAATATTATGATTAATGTTGTGCTGAATATGTTAGTTGATAATTGCCCTTTCTAAATACACTTAATGGATTAAATAAAGATTAATATAATTAATAACAAGTTGATATTTGATTTGAATTTTTGAGTTATATTACTTTATTGGATTATTATGAGTAGATATATATATATATATATATATATATATATATATATATATATTATGGTGATAGATAACAAACTATAATATTAATTTTACCTTTGGTAAAATTAATATTATAGTTTGTTATCTATTGGTAAAATTAATATTATAGTTTGTTATCTATCACCATAATATATACATATATATATACATATATATTATTACTACTAATTTATAGTTTATTATATTATTATTATTATATTATTATTATTACTATTTTATTAATAAAAATATAGGGTATTACATTATACCCTCCTTAAAAGAAGTTTCGTCCTCGAAACTTAAAAGTTTGAGCTCCTCAAATTAACTAAAAGGCATAAGATTAAAGTTAATAAAAATATGGGGTATTACAAAATTAACCCAAACACTTGAAGCCTCCACCTTGGCATTGCCTAGCAAGCATCCATGGAGAAGGAGAACTCAACGAGAGAGAGTTCTCATAAGCGATAAAAGGATAATCGTGTGGAATAGCATTAGAGGACATCATACACTTTGGTATCATTGAGTGAAGGTAATCCTAAACCCCATTTGTGTTTTAACGGGTAGATCCTAAGGCATAACTCATTAGGACCGTAAACAAGTTACGGGTTCTGCAATGATTAACAAAGATTGAAATTTTTTGTTTTTCACCCTCATGAGCATGTTGCTTGAACGTCAAGCAACACACTTTTTAACTTTCAAAAACCAATTTGATACTTTCCTCCTACCTTGTTTAGCCTAGGAAGATCTTACGTGAGGACGATTCATATAGAAAGGTTCTCCCATGCCATTCAATTGATAGTGTGGACTTACATTGGAGGGTGTTGTCTTCTTAACACCTACAAATGATTCAACATTAGAAGGTTATTATAAAGTGAAAAAGTTATAATCTTTCACTATCCTTTAAATTTATTGAGTATATCCTAAGATAAAACATGATGCATATAAAAGGTTTTCATCTTTCACATAAAAGAGTTTTTGCTTTTACATCATGCTAGGCATACTTTATGTGATATAAAGGTTGCATCTTTTTAATTTTTGATATGGAGATTTGGGCCACAACAAATTCCATCAACCAGTGTTATCAAACTCGAATGATCATTGACTTATTCGAGGTACTAGGTTAATGGGTCATCGGTTCAACCAGTGGATCATTGGTTCAAACACATGAATTAAATATGGGAAAAATGTTTATCTTTTTAAAGAATATAACTTTGCGTTATTTTAGATTCTAACCGTTGATTTTTGTCAATCAACGATTATAATTAATATGTTTGACCCAATAAATTATAATCATTGATTGACAAAAATCAACAATTAGGATCTAAAATGACACAAAGTTATATCCTTTAAAAGGTTAAACGTTTTCCCCATTAAATATATATAATAAGGGAAATAGTTTTCTCATTTTACATAAGAAAATTTTCTCATGTTATACACACAATTAAAAGGTGGATCCCATATTATTTTTCGTCTTCTCATTTTTTTATGGATCCCACTCATATATTGTGTGTGTAGCATGAGAAAATTTTCTCATATAAAATGAGAAAATTAATCCCCATGTAATAAATATAAAACTAGAAGCATTTTAGCTAATCGTTAGATTTGGTTTAATGTTGAGTGCTAAAGTTAGAATTTACATGGTCTCGGTTTGAATATCATTAATGGTATTTTTAAAATATTTTGTCCAAAATTTCACAAAATTAGCTTCTTTTTTTTTAAAAAAAGGGTGCCGGTTTAATACTAGTTGAACCTGGTTTAGGACCGGTCTACGAATTCATACCGGGTCAAATGCATGACTGGTTCAATACATAAACTAGACCGGTTGAGAATCCGATTTACATTCCAAGAAAAGATGTTGACTTCCTCTCAAAGGATCCCATCAATTTTCATTCAAGAGAAATATTACCAATAGTTTATAATATATTAGGAAATTTTAATATATCAATTTTTTATGATAATACATTTTGAATTTGCTTTAAATAATATTTTTAATTTTTAAGGTAATGTTTAGACAATTTTAAATTTAATATTTAACATTGAATTGTTTATGATTTTACTTTATAAAATCATAATAATATAGGATAAAAATTAGGGAAAATAAAAAAAGTATATGTATAAGGTTATTGGGATCTAAGCAATACATTTTTGTCAAAGGGTGTAAATGGGTAATGTGGCTTGTTATGGCCTATAGCTTGACCTTTTGACCTGACTTGGCTTAACTTATTTTAAAATTAATACAGGCTTGAGCTCATTAAAATATCTCTTTAAAAATAAGACCACAAGCCTATTTTAGCCAGCTGACTCTATTTTTTAATAAATAATACTTTTTTTTTAATAAAATATTGTCTTGTTGTTTTTCAAAAAAATAATATCTTGTTATTTTTTGATAAAATAATATCTTGTTATTTTTTTTAAAAAAAATATCTTACTATTTTTTTAATTTTTTTTTTTACTTTTTCACAACCTTCCCTCTCTCATTTGACAAACATATTTTTTCATAACCCTAAATTCCTTCGTTATAAACTTGTAATTATTCTTCTCTTCTCCGCCAAATTTCACTACTCTATTAAACCCTTCTCAAATTTTCATCCCTTCCAAATCATCCATCGCTCATTATCAACTCCAAAACTTTTGCATATGATAGTAAGTCCTTATTTTTTATAAATTTTGCTCTTTTTTTGTCCCATTGACAAAATTCTCTCTTTTCAAAATTTGTATTAAAAAAAATATTATTTGACTTATAGGTGTCATATGTATCTACATTTTTTTTTGTGTTTGTTGGACATGTGTTTATGTGTGACTTTTTTTATTTAATTAGTTTTTTGCTGAGAAATTCTCATATAAATTGGTTGGTATCTATCTTTAGAGCTGATAGTAAGTTCTTATTCTCCATACTTGTTGCTTTTTTTTTTGTATGAATCACAAGTTTTGCCTCTTTCAAAAAATTTCATTAAAAAATAACAAATTATTTAACTTATGATTGTTGTATATGCATTTATATATTTTGTTTTTATTTGTTGGGCACGTGTTTTTTTTCCCATTCTCTTTGCCTGGACCGAATTTCAACGAAACCAAACATGCCCTTAAAACTCTTCAATTGCCTACAAAACAATGTTTCTCTCTCCATCTCCATGTCACTGTTTCAATGTTGCTGTTGTGTGCTTCACGTTCTCTTAACTCAAACATTCCGGATCACCACAAGAACTTTTCTCCAAATCATGCATTTTTTTTCTCTCCTCCTCACATTTCGAACAATCACCACCAAAAAAGTAAAAAAGAAAATGAAAAAAAATAAAGAAGACTTGTAAACAGAAAAACAATAATTTTTTTATTTGCCTTTTTTTTTTTATTATGTGACATTCTTCTTCTTTCATTCTTGTTGGGTTTTCTGAGACACAAACTGTCATTTCTTTCTGTTTTTATTTCTTTTTGTTTTTTTCCCCCATCTTTGTGGTTTCACTATTCCTTCCCATAATAACCTTTTTTTAACTTTTGCCTTAAACTACTATCATTCTTGAACTAAATTTCTTTATCTTTGAAATTTGCTTTGTGGGGTGTCCCATTTTTGTTGCTTTTCTCTTTTGTCACAATTATATTCTCTTGCGACTATTGATGAGTTAACCACCTTGGCTATTGGAGCTGTAGAAGTTCCAAGAAAAACTAGATGGGGTTTGATGAAAACAAAGAAACTGGACAGACAAGTGAGGCTGCAAAGGAACAAGAAGAGCACCATGAGCCATTGAGCAGGCAACCCAGTGAATCTTCAATCTATGCAACTGAGGAGGAAGAAGATGAAGATGGAACCAAAATAGAGTTGGGTCCACAGTGCACACTTAAAGAACAACTTGAGAAAGATAAGGTTTTGTTGTTACCTTCTTCAACTAAACGTTTCTCTCTGTTTCTTGCTTTCTTCCTTATTTATTCCTTTCTTTCGTGTTTGGATGTATGCTTGGAATATAGGATGATGAGAGTCTAAGGAAATGGAAAGAACAGCTTCTTGGGAGTGTGGATGTGAGCAACATTGGAGGTATCTCTTTTTCCCACCTTATAAGCTTATTCTATTATTTAAATGCTACTCGATCAACGATTAATATTTGGTATGAGAATATTTATTCTTATATCGATATAAATTAATCCTGCCCATATATATTATTGCAACAGTTGTAATTTGTGCATGTAAGGATTCAAGATACTTATGCACAGCCATGCAAATTGAAATATTTTCTGCAACAGTTTTAGGTATAATAATAATTTAAATTCTCTCTGTGAGAACTTAAAATAAACTGTTGTTATAAATTTACAATTTGATATTGCTCCAGTTTCTTCCTATTTGAAATGTCAAATATTCCAATTAATATAGGAATTAGAATGCTTATGGTCAAGAATGTAGCTAGATATTTCTTGTTAGGAAGGAAAGATACTATTTTTTTTAGGGGCCAAACAAAAAAATATTAAATTTTTAAAAAAATTGTAGAGTATTAAAAGGTTTTGGACATGCATGACAAAACATTCTTTGACAAAGAAATTCTTCAGGACAGCTTTGGAGCAGCGGTATGATTGGTTCTTGTAATCTGGATTCGAGTATGGATAAGAGCCTTATCTTTGCAAAAAAAATAAAAATGCAAGTGTGTAAGGCTGGATGGTTATTTCTATTGCCTTTTACTATGGACTAGCTGATATATTCCTGAACTTATAATGCTTGGTTATAGCTTGTCTGTTGTTCTATTTTCTACTAATAATTTAGTTATCTATAATTAAACTATCCATTTGTCTTGTATTTATAGTATGTTCTCTTTTCTGTCCCCTGTATAAATGAAGTTAATGAAAATGTTTCTTTCCAGAAATTCTTGAACCTGAAGTGAAAATTACAAGTCTGTCTATCATCTCTGCTGGTAGAGATGACATTGTTCTTCCCATTCCTGAAAATGGAAAACCAAAGGGCTTATGGTTTACTCTTAAAGAAGGTAGTCTTTACCGTCTGAAATTCACCTTTGAAGTGGGGAATAATATTGTGTCTGGCTTGAAATACACCAATACTGTCTGGAAGACTGGTGTCAAGGGTATGTTCATTTAGTCTAATTTCTTTCCAGTCTTCTAATTTGTTAACCTTGAAGCATTCTATTACAATTAAGTTTCATTTCAGTGGACAGCTCAAAAGAGATGCTTGGAACTTTCAGCCCTCAACCCGAGCCTTATACACACGAGATGCCAGAAGAAACCACACCCTCTGGCATGTTTGCAAGAGGACAATATTCTGCAAGATCAAAGGTGAGGTTACCATTACATGAATTGAATTTGATTGCACAATTATATGCAGTTCCATAATTACATGAAATGTTCCTATTTAGATAACTGTTACAGAGGACTTTATGTTTTTGCAATTCAAATTTCTTTTCTTATTTATCCGAAGGAATCCGAGAAACGGTCTATTTGCAATTATGCAAAAATAACATTGTGTACAAAAATTGCCCTCACCCAATCCTTGCTAGTTGGGGTTTAATGAAGAGTGGTTTATAAAAGGATTATGGTCTTTATTGAATCTTAAGTTTTTCTCTTTCTTTTATAGTAAATTGAGATACGTTGTAGGTATCTATTTGTACTCTAATTTTCATTTTATTTATAAAATAGGAGAAGGATCCGTTTATAAACTTTTTTTACAAATTACACTAAGTATGACGGGTCAGACATAGTGTAGTTTGTAAAAGTTTGTAAACAAAAAGTTTGTAAATATAACTTTCCCCTATAAAACAATGATACAATTATAAACTGCTGCAATTTTCCTTTTGCAGTTTCTTGATGATGACAACAGATGTTACTTGGAGATCAACTATACTTTTGATATTAGGAAGGACTGGGCTTGATCATACGTGGAAAGCTTCCCAATCTGCAATAGTAATTCTCCCTCGTTTAGTCAATACATTTTTTAATCTCTTTATGATTTATTCAAGAAATTCAGATATCTTAGGTAACAAAATTTTGGCTTGTACTGAATTCCATCCATTTTAGTATTGACTAAAGAAAACAAAGAGAAAGAAGATTATTTGGTAATTTTTCTGATAAAGTTGCCCTGCTTGTTTAACTTACGACTCTCCTACCTCCACTGTCTTTACCAATCTAAATATGGAGACATAACAATCTTTTTGGGGGAACCGATTTCTTTAGAATGCAACTTGTAAAGGATGGCCTTGGCATATGAGTTTTCAAGCAATTAGAAATGAAATGGAAAGTGTACTCTTTGTTTGAATGAGAATCTTTCTCTTTTCTTGCTGCTGCAGTTAGAAATTTAAATAGGAGATGATTTAGAATGGTAAAATTATATAGTAGATCAAAAATCAATATAAATGAGACAAAGAAACAAGAAAACTGTTGCAAAACCTCAACTGCATGGAAAAATCAATTATGTTATTTAAGAAAATTTCATTTGTACTGTTATTTACATTATCTAAATTCATTGCGTAACTTAGACTTATGAATACAGTTTTAGGCCTCAGAGCACAAAATGCACCCAAGGATGGTTAATTTTCTAGTGATCGACATCTTGTATGTCATTTTTAATTTTCAATCATGCCCTTAAGTATTAGAGAAATATAAAATCATTAATGTAGTCTCACCCAACAACTTAAGTTTTTTGGTTGAATTAGTTCTTTATATGGTATTGGAGCCTCGGTGTTACGGGTTCGATCTTCACCGCCCCCCTTCTATTAATAAAAATAATTAAATATTGGGTTCGCTTTTTCTGCAGTTACTGCAGATAAGTTACCTGCAATATCAAAAGCACCGACACGTTAAAATTTTCAGAATGTGCGTGTTGGACACGTGTCCGACATGCTCCGACACGCGGCCAACATTTTGGGACACGCAGTCAACGCTCCGACACGTTCCGACACGCGGTCAACATTTTGGGACACGCAGTCAACACTCTGAAACATTTTTCTGACACAGTCAACTTTTTCCAACACGCGGTCAAACGGTCCGACACGCATCCGACACGTTTTTTTTTTACTTCTTAATTTTATTTTATTAATTAAAAATAAAAATAATAATTTATAAATCAATTTTTTTCTGTTATGAAATTTACATGAAAAATTAACAAGGTACGAAAAATTATTTTTATTTATATTTATGTTATCAAATTTGAATATTTGATTGGTTATATAACTTATTGTAGGCCGTTATATGTATTAAATATAAATTATATTATATATATTAAAAATATTATTTAATACCAATGTGTTCCAATGAAAGAAAATGGCCTTGAAGGCCGTAGGCATGTGAGGATGAAAACAAAATTTTTCAAGAGCGGAAACACACATGCAAATTAAGATACGTACTTTAGGACGTGATGATACCTTTTTTCGTGATTCAAAACTCCAAGGTGATCAGTGTAAGGTTTGAAGGTTCAAACCCTCTAATGTTGATCCACACCACCTTACATCAAGATGCAAGAACCCTTCTTGAAAAGCCACCAATCGAATACCACAAGGAAGGCTAGCTAGGCGTCCAATAGGAGAGAAAGAGGCTTAGGTTTCAAGGTGTTTAGATGAGTGAATTTTCAGCATGAAAACTCACAAAGTGGCGCATGGAGTTCTATGAGAAGAGGCTAGGTAATTTTCGAAAACCCCCTCAAGAGAACCTAACAAAAGGATGCACTTTTGGAGATGAGAGATCAATTGATTTGAATCATATTTTTCTCCCAAAAATCTGACCTATGTAGCGCCTAATGGTAGAGAAATAAGTGGAGTTGTTGTAATTCAAATCTAGCCAACAACCTCCTATCATATCCTCATGATACTAAGTCTATACCTAGTCAAAAATCTGACTTAATAACCATCATATGGCCAGCCATTTGGTGCGCCCTTATTCAGCCCAAAAATAGTCCAAATACATTGAGTAGTTGCAATTCAAATTGAACCAACTCACTCACTTATTCTCTCAACAAACCAAATCTGATTGGAGCTTATTTGGTTGACCATATGACCATCAAAGGATCACCAAATCAGCGGCCCCAATCTTGTTAGATGATGTCCAAAGATCTCTTCTTGATACTTGGAATTCGATTCATCAAGATCTCATCTTATCCTTTTGTTATGAAACAACCTTTCATAGCCAATTCAAATTCAAATTCAAACATTTAAATTCAAACGTTCAAACATTTAAATTCAAAATTCAAATTCAAAATTCAAATTCTAAACTTAAATATTTGATAATTAATTTAACTAATTAAATTAATTAATAATGTCTTGGACCATCCAAGCCCCATTACTACTACCATGCGCCCTTTCCCTCTTAGGTGGGCTTCCAAACTTCTTCTTGGGCTAACAACCATTATTAGGCCCAATACCTTTAATGCTATATCATCAAGACAATAAGATGTTAGTGTGTGACCCATTAGGCCCAACATAGCCACTGACATAAATGGGCTTGGGCCCAACAAGCCCACAACCCATTTAATGACAAAACAGAGTACTAGCCATGCTTTGTTGCCCCAGAGCTAGTTAGGTTAATGACATGATCATCCTATTACATATATTTGGTTACCGTATATATTTCCTTTCGTCTCGGTTACCTTCCCTTTAAACCTAGGGTGAGGATACGTATCAACCCCTGCGGTTTAGGATAAGCTTTAATTCGAAATAGAGAATCTTCAATTTACTGACTCTAAAGGCAGATCATCTTATGATCTCTTTTACTATGCATAGATTCCCGAGTCCTGTAAATGTCATCCCGATTTCTCCGGTTTACAGATAACATAATCCCTCACAGAGATTTGACGAATTCCTTCAGCATATCACCCTAGGCCTGTGCTCTTTCAAACATGCCCAAAAGTATACCTATGAGTCTCCATGTTTCAGGCGGACAAGGTATACAATTAAAGCATGCCTTCCAGAACACAGTCTAGGTGAAAACTTCTGGTCTAAGGAAAGACATACCCAAATATTAAGAGACTGCTCTAATGATACTATTTGTGAGATTTCCTCATAGAGTCTCTTTATGGGTCTGTTCAGTGCGAGCTATACCCTTATAGGTCCACCCACGACTTTAGCTAAAACATCTCCATATCTGTAGCTCATGAGGTCTATACCTTGTATCCGAATACAAGTAGATAAGCCGTGCTAGTCTTACCCGAGATTACTGATCCCCATTCTCAGTGTCTCTAGACTAGGAACATAAAATTAGGAATAAAACATCCAGTATCCTTGAATCCTCATGATCGTGATCTCATCACAGGTACTCAAGAGATACCTATTCTATTCCAAGGGGTTTATCCAGTTACTCATATAATATTAATAATATCGAGACAAAATATGAAACAGGATAAAGAGTGCTTATATTTATTTGTGACAAAATAAAAGGTCCACATATGTCATAATCTAATCGAAAGATTGTCTCTAGGACATCCATATACTAACATCCAACGTGTCGAAATATGACATTTTTTAGAATTAAAGTGTCTGCGTGTCGTGTCCTGTCCTGTGTTGGTGTCGATGCATCATAGTCTGCAGTAAGTCCAATATGACGTCGTTTTGGAGCGGAAATCATGGTGTTTTTGTAATTTTAATTTATTTCAGGGTTATTATAGTCTTTATAATTATAATTTTTTAATCTTTCAATTCTAAAACGATGTCGTTTTGGAAGTAAATGCAGATAACTTATCTGCAGTAACTGCAGAAATATTTTTCTGTTAAATGTTATGAAATTTCTTAGCACAGAAAAGTGTAGCTCTTCAAACTCAATAAACTCTTTGTGTAAGGAGGCATGTTAGAGAAATACAAAACTATTAATGTAGCCTAAGACCCAACAACTCAAACTTTTGAGTTAAATTGCTTCTTTACATTAATCAATACAGAAATGTCAATTAAGAGTTGTTATCAAAGGAGAAAGGGGTATTTATTTATTTTTGATTCAATTAGCAACATTTTATTAAGGAAATAAGATTAGGAATAGAGAGGAAGCAAAAAAATTTATGATTTTCTAGATGAGCACTTACGTTGCCTGGCCAAATCCTTAGGATGGTTAAATAAACATATTCAATTTTTAGCTTGACCATTACGCCCATTATGATGCATTTATGGGTCTTAAACAGGCCCTGAAGACTACAATCATAAAGTTATGTATGAAAGGCATGCAATGTAACAAAAAAAAAAAAAAAAAGGCATGCAAAACATACTCGTTAACCAATTTCCTGTTCTCTTGGGCCCGTTTGGTATGTGGTATTTTTCAAAATTTTCGGAAAACTGAATTTTTTTAAATTTTTAATTTTCAGATATTATCGTAAACTGAATATAAAAATCATATTTCTGAAAATCGAGATTCCCAGATAAAAAAAAATTTCTCCTCTACCAAACGTCCCTACGTGTAATCTGCATCTCATTAGGAACTCGATTCCTAACACAACCACCATTACGAGCAGCAAATATTTAGTGATCCGGGAGCAATGCACTGCCACAGAGAGAGAAAAATTTATTATACTCCCGCTTTATCATTTATTCAGTGGTCCTTTTTTCATAAATAGAAAATTTTCTTCTATTCTTATCTCTCTCTTTTGGATTTTTTTCTCTCACTCTCTAGGTTTTTTTTTTTAGAGGGGACCACCGTACTCCCGTCTCACCAAAAACTCTCTCCACATAGAGAGGAGAGAGAAAGGAAGAAAGAGAGAAGAGGAGGGGAGCGGGGAATTAATTTCCCATTATGAGATATATTATATTGAGATAACTAATTTAAATGATACATACATCAATCAATCAACATCACATTTATCTCAAACTAACTATAATATTGAAACAATACATTATCATCTTATAAGTTGTAACTTCTTTTTCTTTTGGACAGGAATTATAAGCAGTAATTGAACATAATATAGGGGAATAGAACTTGATTAGTTAAATTTATATGTAAATATGAACATACGTTATTCCGAATAAAAAGGGTTCAGATTCCGTAAGTATGTGGACTCTGAGTTTGATATCAGGATTTGTGTATAGAAATACATATGGTTGGGAAGGATCAAGCCTTCGGTGCTTATTCCGGGAGATTAGTCTATCATTTACAAAGTAAAATTTTTTAAAAACCAAAAATCTTAGATGTAAGTAATGTTTTTAATAGTAATTTTTAAAAAATATAAAAAATAAAATTTGAAGCATAAATGCAATCTTTGAATTTACTCGTAGAAAAATATACATTCTTTCGAAAGAAATCAAGTCATTCTAATAATTAAAATTTTTACCATTTCATTCATGTCTCAAATAATAATCTTTACACTATTTTATCATAAAATATCCAAATAATGATTTGAGAGATACAATGAGACTTTTTTGGATAAAAGAAAAATTCTTTGCACGGCAGAGAAGGCAAGCCGTGAAAGAGGTGCTCACAAAAGCAGTAATTCAGGTCATTCCCTTTTATGCTATGTCCATAGTGAGGTTTCCTAAAAATTTCTGCACATCTATTTACTGCCAAATAGCTCAGTTCTGATGGTTTAGGCCTGGGAAGAGTAGAAGGATTCATTGGAGAAAGTGGGATAACCTAACCATAAGTAAGATGGAAGGAGGGTTGGGATACAAAACAAGCTTCAGGCAAAACAATATGAGGAAGGATATTCTTACTACCAAAATCTTATACTACCAACTCACTACCTATCTAATCACCATTGAATCAATATTTTCTCTTTTTTCAAAAACTTTTTAGCATTCTCTATCTTTGATCAATGATTTAGATAGGTAGTAAGTTAGTAGTAGAAAATTTTGGTAGTAAGAATATCCTTCCTCAAACAATATTGGAGAGCACTTAATAAATGTTTTTAAGTTCGAATTCTTGAAGGTATCTGTTCTAGCCGGCCCAATTGGCTAGCCTAATAACACTGGCCCAGTACCAAGAGGCCCATACTGCCCCTGATATACCAGCTTAGCCACCCCTGCAAAATGAGTATTGTCACATCAGCACTACCATCAAGTGCTACCTTCCAAGATTTCCCAACATAGGACACCAAAATGTCCCATGTCATGGTGTTTTCCCTTCTCCTTCTCCTTCCCCTCCACAGCAACATCCATACCACTAACACTGGCTGAGAGGTGCCTTACTCAGCAAGGCACGACTACAATGGCAATCCCCATAACAATTGACTTTGCTCCCTCTCCCACTTGGAGAGAGATCAATCCTAGCTATAAATACCCCCTCTTCCATCACCATGAGCACACATAATATCACTACTTTCATGATTTGTTACTCTGCCAACTTGGAGAGCCATTGTAGCCATTTTAACACCACCACCTATTATTGTTTACTGCACCTGGGACTCTCTTGCATAACCTTGGTCCATACCATTGCTATCAAGGGCATCCCTATAGCGATCACCACACCCTTTGGAGTTACATAAGCGGCTCTCTTACCATACTAACAGTTCAGTATCTACCTCTCTGAATCTGGTTTTCCTGATGCTCAAAGCAAAAGAAATGCTTCTTGGGTTTGGATTAGTCTATTAAAGGGTAGGGGCTTTCTAAGGAAAAGTGGCAGGTGCATGACTGGTGATGGGAGGAATATAAAGATCAAAGAGGACAAACAACTGGCTTGTTAATGGGAGGTTCCTACAAGGTGACGAAGTGCCTGCTAACCTAATGTATCCTATCTTCTAGACTACAATGAAAGTGGTTGGGATGTATGTAACTTAGACCTACTCTACTTCCAAATGTTGCAATCACAGCTACCCAAGCACCAGTGAGGATGACGCAAGGAAAAGATAGGTTGGTCCAACCCCACACTAAAGTTGGCAAATGCTATGTCAAAACTGGCTAGCATGTAGCAAAAGGATCTACAGAACAGCACTCTAGTACCCACTTTCCACCTTTTCTTATTTTCAACCTGAGTTAACGAAAGTTATAGAGTCTAGAAATCCATGCGAAAATTAATTTTTTCCTATGGAAGGCATGACATAGTCCTTTACCAGTATAGGAAAACCTCTGTAGGAGAAGGGTTTCACCTAATCCGATATGTCCCAAAACAAACCAAAAACCATGGAACACAACCTATTACTTTGCCCTACTACAGAATCGGTTTGGTTTACAGCCCAGGTGCAATGTCTACAGAGAACATTTCCAGGTTTGATCAGTGGCTGTGGAATAGGATAAGGCTTTCTCTGAATAAAAAAGAATTTTTCAAAGTAAGTGTTGCCATATTTGTTACCTAATCTGGGCCATTTCGAAGGGAAGAAATGAAGGGCTCTTTTAACATAAAAGTTCTTAATCCTAATTTCACCATCCGCAGAGCCAATTTGCACTAGAATGACTTTTATTCAATAAACCAGAGTAGTAAATCTAATATTGGAAAATAAAAGTGGGGTATTAAAGCTCATACCTCTTGGCAACTTCCTCACCAGGGTATTCTCAAATGTAAGGTTGTCAGGTTGATGCTAGAATTGTCAAATCCAGAAGTTTGGCATATATAGAGTTGATCATGCAGTGACAAGGTTAGCGTTGCAAAGTCATCTTCTACCAAACTGGGGAGTTGTCTAGCTGGAATTTGAAACTCTCCAGAGATGAATTTAGTTGTTTGAGTTTGTTGAGGTCAATCTTTGTCCTAATAGCATTTTTTGGTTTTCTTTGTTTTTTGTAGCGCTGCAGTGTTACTATGTTTCGCCCTTGGACCCAAGTTCCCAATTTTTGTAGCTCCGCTTTTCAGAATTGAATAAAAAATAAGCATGCAGAGTCAATCCATTTTTCAATTAAAACTTATATTCAACATAAATTCTACTTTTTTCTTTTGACTAGCACTATAAAATCAATTTTAGTAAATGAAAGTCAATAACTTGTAAGAAAATATATTTAAATTTACACTTGAAACCAATATACCTCAAGCATCAATTGAAGCTGGCAAACAATGAGAGCTTTAGGTAGGGTTTAGGGTTTCGCTGGACAGAATTTGTGCATCCTCAAAAGGAAAAGAATGAATGACTGAGATAAAAACATCATTATAGTAAAATTCTAGATCTTAAGAAACTTAATAGCTATAGTTGGGGCTACAACTTTTACCATGTTGAAATTATAAGAATTTAAGTAAAAAAGAAAGAAAAGAGAGAACAAACACAAAATCATATAATACAATATTGATAAGATGAAGCTCTATATTTTAATACCATGTTGAATTATAGGGATTTGGATAAAGAAAAACGAAAAGAGAGAATAAAGACAATCAATAATATTCTCTTTATGTATATTGGGTTGATATAATGCGATACAAAATAAAAAGTATTGACCCTTATATATATTATTTATAAACTCTTAATCCTAATCAAATAAGAAAACAAATTGAAAAACATAATGACATATAAAAACCACTCCCAAGAAATCATTTAAAACACTCAATATTCTAAAATACAATAATAATATTATAAGATATTTTTAGTTCTAACATAAATCTTATGGGCTTGAGTTGTAACAAGTAACAACATGCACACATTCGGGTGAGCAACCAAAATGTCAAAATTACCTAGTAATTATAAAAAGAACCTTTTACGAATCAACGAATGCTCGAGCAACTGAAGTTAGAAAAAAAAACAACTTAAGCACTCCGAGCAACCTAACTCAAGAATCCTGCTATCTATAGATACGACATTGATGACATGCAAAATTGATACATTTTAAAAAATTGTTCAGAAATCTATAGTTCTTTTTGTTCATCTGAAATTAGTGTGGTGATTGGGGAGAAAGCCAAGGGTGTGAGGTCATTAATACCATCTGAATCAGCATTGCCTGATGATTTTTCTTGCTCTGCAACAAGCATAAGCATCTCCAGGCGCTTGTCAAATTGCAAAGCACTCTCATCTCTTTGATCAAGCTCAGCAGCTTCAATTTCAAGCCATTTCTCACGTAGATCATCAAGAAGATTTCCTTGATCAGCATTTAGAGCAGATCCAGGAATGCTCGGTACAGTGGTACGAAGAGACGAGTCTCCAGACGGTGGAGGCAAAGTCAACAGTATTGCGCGGAATTCCTTAGTATCAGCAAATGTCTCAAAATTACAAGCAATGGTGTCTAGACAATATTCCCGAATCTTGACAACACCATACCTGGACAAGAACAAGTATTCAGTAGAAATACAGATAAAACCAAAATATGATCTGGGTTACTGTTTGATTGACTTGAAAAGAAAACTGAAACATTATTATTATTTTGTAAAGAACATGTACAAAAATGTTACAATATATAGAGAGATTAATGGGCTTAAACGAATAAACTCAAATCCTAGAAAATAAGGAAATACTAATCGGGCTAATAAAGGAAATAAATAATTACATATACTTTCTATATTTACAACACTCGAGAAATGGATATTTATTATTCTCAGCTTACTAGTAAATTCTTGAAACCTGGTAGTAGGAAATTCCTAGGTCATCAGCTAGTTGACGATTAGGAGGAATATATGGAGTAGTGAATTTAGACGAGAGCATGACAGACCCATCTGACAACTTGACATCCATCATGGCCCTGCGACTCTCTTCACTCCTAGCAGCGTGAAAAACTTCAAAAAAAGAAGGTAATTTTTCCTTACCAAGAATCTAAACCTGAATGAGGTCATACTCAGAGTCGAGTTCGCAAAGAAAGTCAAAAGATTTGATTCCTTTAAACTAAGGTGACTAGTGCGGTTGAATCCTTGCTACACTCTATTTTCAAATTTCATACTGATCAAGCTCGGTCCACAACCTATTCATAATGCCATAATATTCTATCGCAAAGAGGAAGGCTTACTTGGTAGAAAAAATCCTATTCCTCAAATCATAACAGGTGGCAGCATCTTACTTCATGTAGTAAGTCTGCTTGAGAACATCCTAAATCTCGAGAGCAATAGGTAAGAACGTGTAATGTTGCTTACTTCATGAGTCATAAAATTCCATAGCCACGTCATAATAAGAGAGTCTTCATCATCCCACTCAATGAACATTGGATCTGTTTTGGCAAGGACAGACCCTCAAGATGAGCAACCTTACGACGTCCCCTAAGGATTGTATAAGTTGGGACCATTGTAAATAATTCTTGTCATTGAGACAATAATTTTGATGGAGAGTGGAAAGATCATTTGGATTTCAGAGGAGCCATGGTTTGTGCATCGGGTTGTGTAGTAGACTGTGGTATCATCTCGGTGCGTTAACGTCTGACACAGTCCTTAAAGGTAAAAAAGAATCGTTAGACACAAAAACAACAGGGTAATTACCATAGAAATCTCTAGTTGTCCCAAACAGTGATGAAAACATCAAATTAAGCAAAAGGGGCCTGGGCGAACAAAAAAAATTCGATTTTTATAGTGGGATCAAATACCCATGACCTAGTGCCTGATCAAGAAGGTAAGGGCATATCTGGACTCGAGAGGCGACCACAACCGCGTGGGGGCTGATGAGAAATGGTGACGTAACACACCGGGACATGGGCAACGTGTTAGTATCAGGCACAGAGAATAGGAGCCGCACATGGGGGCGCGTGAGAGCTCCAATGACGGTGGGCTTCCAGTGGCTGGCCAATAAGGACAGCCTGACGCCGTCTGTGGCTCATTAGAGATGAAAAGTCATAGGAAAATCAGTTGAGCGGAATCTTGACCATTGTGGAAGCTTGTAAGCGCGATTGTAGACCCATGGGTCTTCTCCTGGTGGTGAAACTATTGTAGATCAATAAATCGGGAAGCTTAGAGATGAAAGGTGGTCTTCTCCATCCAAAAGGTTAAAAAACCACTCCCTATTAAACCCTGACTGGTGAGGGTAAGGGTGAGGACAATTCTTTTACGTAGCCTTACTTTTGCATATTTACAAAGGGGATGTTTTCCTGATTCGAACCTATAACAACCCGCATTGTCAAGTTAGGTTAAACAAGGAAATCAAGCAAGTGTTCAGGAGATCAAGTAAGTGTTTAAGGAAGTTGTGACAAGTTATAACAAGTAATGATCAAATGATCATAAAATTATAGGATAAGATGGACAAGGATACAGTTCATTTCAAACAAGTCAATTAGGACTCAAATTGTAATATTTGCTAAGTTTAGGGGTCAAAGTATAAATATGAGAAAGTTTAAGGACCATTTTCTTATCTGGCAAAACTTGGTCTAAACTTTAATTAGATGGTGTAATTAGATTCCTTAGGAAATTTTAAGGATTTTAAGTGATTTTAAATTAAGTTAATTATGGCTAGATTAATTGTTAAAATTATGTCAAAGTTTCATTACAACTAACCAACAGGAAATAAACTAACCTAGAGCTTTGGAAAAATCAAATTTAGTTGTTTTTGATATTTGCACAAGTGTAGGTCGGTTGTCCTTGCTTGTTGGCCACGCACATCTCTTTCTTTTTCCTTGTTATGTTGGCTGAATGTGTGGTGAAGCAAGAAAGCAAATGAATACAAGCTTTGACAAGTCAAAGTAGTAAAAAGGAACCAATAAGAACTTGAGTTGAAAAGTCAAAATTAGTGTGCTTGATATTTTCTTCTTTCTAAATCGGTTCTTTCTCTTTAAAAGAACACAAAATCTGCACTCTTCTTCTTCTAAAAACCGTGAGCACATGGAAGAGAAAGAGAGCTTGACAACTTGAGTTTTATCCACTAAATTCATAGCTTCTTGTGTAATCTAGTATTCAAGTGCAGGTCCTATTTTGCAATAACTTGTAGAAATAATATAAAAAGGTTAAAGACTTGTTTAAATGACATGAATTGGCAAAGTTTAAGTGTTGGAATAATTATGTGAGTCATCTTTAAGTTAGTTTTGAAATTAACATATAAACATATTGATTTCTTCAATTACAAGTCACAAGTATACGGTGGTTAATAGTACCTTTATGACTTCAGATCAAGAGAGTCGACATTGAAAGATCAAGTGGCAAGTGAAGGATAGTTTGTATTTCAAGTTACTTTTCAAGGAAAGCTTTTAACATGTAAGCTCTTGGTTTAGGTGTTTTCTCCCTTATGTTGTTCCACCATGGTCCAGTAGGATTATGGTTCACATGGTATATGTTGTGATAAATGTAAATATATAGTATAGTTGCATTCATGTAGCTCATGCATCTGAAATGATATAATATGAAATAGTATGAAATGAAATGATATGATATAATATGGTGTGGTGTGATATGATGTGGTAGGTGGATAGTGGGTTCTGATCAGTGAACGCATACATGTGTGATCTTCCAACGAGATACAACTCTTGGAAGTGGCTCCATAGGGATACAGCCCATAGATTATCATGTATAATCTCTTTGCGGGTTACAGCCCCCCTGGAGGTATATGTTAGAATATCTTTACGGGATACAGCCCCTGGAGATATAGGTTACGATTTCTTTGCAGGACACAACCCCTGGAGGTATATGTTAGAATCTCTTTGTAGGAGACAACCCCTGGAGTATAGCTCTAGAAGTCTTATGTATGTGTATGAAATATATAAGCTATGTGATCTAACCTTTCATGCAAGAAGTGAAATCATAGGTGAAGACTTCTCCATAAACCCAAAGTTTATTGAGATTCATTCTCACCCTGCGTTATGGGGTTATATTTCAGGTACTCCAGTAGCAAGGGAGCCCTCTAATGGCAAGAGGCACGCACATGTGACTAGAGGATTCCGGCTAGAGCAGTTTATAGCTTTGATGCTTTGTATAGCATGAGTTGTAGGTGATCATACAGGTTATAGTCAGATGTTCTTTTGTGAGACATATGTAGCCTCGTGTACTTTTAGACCGAGGATATGTTTATATACATGTATGTACTTATATATTGAGTGTGGATATCAATAATGGCACAAAACCATATGCTGATTTAGGTATATAAGATGGATTGGACTTTTCTGTATTACAAGAACAAGACAAGTTAGTGGGGTATGACCCTGTATAGTCTAATTTACAGATGTCATGCTTTCCGTAAGACACTATTTGGAATGGTACAGGATATCATATTTGGATGGTATATTGACCGTTCAAGACGGTTATTGTAAATTAAGTTAAAGAGTCTGTAGAGGTATGAGACTATACAGATTATAATAGCAATAATAATAGTAATAATAAATTTAAAGAAAAAAAAAGTTAAGTCATGAAGTTACTAAGATCTATTTTGATACTTTGGTTTTAAATCTTCCACTTCAAAATTTAATTATTCTACGCTTTAAGTACCATATGTATGTTAACAACCCGTGATTCAAGATGGGGCGTTACGAAACCCGTTACCTCTCGGTCCAAAAGGTCCCAATTTTTTTTTTCCAATGGAGCAAGGTGACCGAAGATCATCAGAATAGGGTTTCGCAATCAAGGTGATGACTGCAAAAGCAAGAGTGGCCCCCAGATCAAGAGCTCTGATACCAACTTGAAAAAAAAATTGAAATATTATTGCTATTGTGTAAAGAACATGTACAAACGATTACAATATATATATAGAGACTAATGGCTTAAAGGAATAAACCTAAATTCTGAAATATAAGGAAATATTAATCTGGCTTATAAAGGAAACAAATAATTATAGATAATTTTCATATTTACAACAAATTGTTGATCTAAATATATTTTCAACACATTATGTAATATCATGAGAACAAAGATCAATTATCATGTGGTAAATAAGGAACGTATGTAAGTCACTGCAGAACAACCTACAATACTTTGCAGTTAGGATTTCGGCATCATTTAATAAAAACATGATTTCCTTTTATAACACAATCTTAAGCTCAATTTGTGCACTGACGACAGAATTAGGGTTAACATCAACATCAACTACACCTTTATCCCAAATTAATTGGGGTCGGTGGTAGATGAACTCAAATAAAAGATACGAAAAGGTTGAAAAAAGATAAAAAATAAAAATAAAAATAAAAAATAAAATAGTAATAATATTTATATATATATAATTATAAATATAAAAGTAGTAAAAGAAGGGAAAAAGAAAAAGAGGGGGAAATGAAGAGGAAAATGACTAAAAAAGGACCATCCGGAACATAGGAATAACAACAAGTCTAACCCTCCACAATGCTTATAGCTTTTCTCCATTCCGTTCTAGGGCACACCGTCCGCCAATCTATATCCCACTACATTAAGTCTTGTTTTACTACCTTCCCCAAGTAAGTTTCGGTCTACCTCTACATTTCTTTGTGTTGAGCTCTTGGTAACAAACTTTTGTTCTTATGGGAGCATTCATGGGCCTTCTCATTACGTGCCCAAACCACCTCAATTTATGTTCTCTCATTTTTCAGCCATCAGTAGTACTCTTACCTTTCGTCGAATATCTTCATTTCTTATCTTATCCATCCTCGTATAACCACACATCCACCTTAACATCCTCATCTTTGCTACTCCCATTTTATGCTCATGTTGCCTATGTGCTGGCCAACATTCAACTCCATATAGCATTGCAGGTCTTACTGCTGTTCTATAGAATTTTTCTTTTAACTTAAGGGGAATTTTGCGGTCACACAAAAACCCAGATGCACTATGTCATTTCATCCACCCTGCTCTGATTCTATGATTTACATCCTCATCAATCTCTCTACCTTTTTGCAAAATGGATCCCAGATATCTAAAAGCATCTTTCTTGGGTATCTCTTGACCACTTAGATGCAAAGGATCTTGTCTACATCTCTTACCAGAGAAAACTCACACTTCAAATACTCAGTCTTGCTCTGACTTAACCTGAATCATGTAGATTCCAACGTGCTTCTCCACAATTCAAGTTTTCTATTAACATCGTCTTTGTTCTCACAAATAAGGACAACATCATCTGCAAAAAGCATACACCGTGGCATTTCCTCTTGAATATCTTTTGTTAGTTCATCCATAACTAATGCAAAGAAATAAGGACTTAGAGCCGAACCTTGGTGTACACCTACCGTGATAGGAAAAAAACTTGATGTTCCGTTACAAGCTTTCACACATGTAGTAGCCCCATCATACATATCCTTTATTGCCTTTACATACTTTGTTGGTACTTTTTTCTTCTCAAGAACCCACCATAAAACTTTCCTTGAAACCCTATCATATGATTTCTCAAGATCTATGAACACCATAGGTAAGTCCTTCTTCTTTTCTCGATATTTTTCCATTAATTGTCGCATCAAGAAAATGGCTTCCATGGTACATCTTCTTGGCATAAATCCAAATTGATTTACAGAAACCTTGGTATCTCTCCTCAAGCGATGTTCAATAACTCTCTCCCACAACTTCATAGTATGGCTCATTAGCTTAATGCCTTTATAATTGGAACAATTCTGTATATCTCCCTTGTTTTTGTAAATAGACACAATCATATTTTTCCTCTATGCATCAGGCATCTTATTTGTCTGATGAATCTTATTGAAAAGATTGGTCAACCATTTTATTGCCACATCCCACAGGCCTCTCCACACTTCAATAGGGACACCATCAGGTCCCAAGACTTCATTAGTCTTCATCCTCTTTAAAGCCTCCTTAACTTCATGTGTATTAATTCTGCGCACAAATCTTCTATTCAAATCATCATAGGCGTCCTCCAAGTCCGCCTCGCTTATATCGCCATCTCCATTAAACAGCTTGTTGAAGTACTTCGTCCGTCTTTCATTTACATCTTTATCTCTCATCAAAGTTTTTTATTTTCATCCTTGATGCATCTAACTTGGGTGAGATTTTTACTTTTCTTATCCCTTATTTTTGCAAGTTTATATATACCTTTTTCACCATCCTTGCTCCCAAGATTTTTATACAAATCGGCGAAAACCATGCCTCTAGCTTCCTGCACTGCTTTCTTTGCATTCTTCTCGCCAGTCTAAACTTTTGCAAGTTCTCTTCATTAGGGCTTTTATGCAAAGATCTAAAGCATTCCTTATGTTTAATTGCCTCTTGCACCTTTCCATTCCACTACCATATTTCCTTTGTATGAAATCTATTTCCTTTGCTTTATCCCAACACCCTCCTTCCCATATTCCGAATACACATAGCCATCTCATTCCATATTGCATTTGCTCCTCCATCAAACTCACAAGGTCCTTCATGCAACATTCTTTCATTAAACTTTATTTTCCCTCCTTAAAGCTTCCACCATCTTATCCTTGGGTTCTAGGCTCTTTTGCTCATTGTAAATACTTTGTTGAACCGAACCTCCAAGACTACCAGCTTATGTTGCGTAGCGACACACTCTCCAGGGTAGACCTTACAGTCGACACAAGAAGTTCAATCTTTTCTTCTAGCCATAAAGAAATCAATCTGGCTACGATTTTGGCCACTATGATATGTGATTAGATGTGACTCCCTTTTTTGAAAAAAGGTGTTCGCTAGCATCAAATTGTAGGCTAGTGCAACATTCAAGATATCTTCTCTAGTCTCGTTTCTCGTCCCATAGCCAAAACCTCCATGAATTCTATCAAAACCGTCATTGCTTTTACCAACATGACCTTTAGATCTCGTTCTAAGAAAATCTTCTCCTTTCGTGGTATCCCCCTCAAAACCTCCTCCAAGTCTTCCCTAAATTGGCTCTTATCATTTGGTTGCAATCCAACTTGTGGTGCATACACACTGAGGATATTCAAGATTAAATCACCCACTACAAGCTCAACCAAAATAATCCTTTCGCTTTTCCTTTTGACGTCAACAATTTTATCTCTGAAACTTTTATCGATCATAATTCCAACACCATTTCGACTCTTGTTTATACCTGTGTACCATAACTTGAAACCAGTTCCATCCACTTCCTTGGCCTTTTCTCCAGCCCACTTAGTTTCTTGCAAGCAAACAATATTCACTTTCCTTTTAGCAAAAACATCTGCTAACTCCCTCAATTTACCTGTTAAGGTTCCTACATTCCAGTTTCTCAATCGCATCCTTAACCGCTGGGCTGTACTTGCCTGCCACGCTCGCCCATCTGCGTGTTGGGACCCTGACATACTTCTCATCAAATCTGGGTGAAGACCTGGCGCCTTGCCTTGAGGCAAGGCTAGCACATTTATCAGTACACCCAGGGCCCGATGCAGCGCCTTACCTGTGGCAAGGGCCCTAGCCCATTTTTCGCTACACCCGGAGCCCAATGCAACGCGTCGCAATGAAGGGCACGCCCCAACGAAAAATCAGAAGGGTTCATCTCATAAATATAACTGCTTTTTATGGCCGGTTCGCTACACCAGACGCAAACCCGCCTCCTTTATCCTGGCTTGGGACAGACCATGCATGCAAGCACACATACACCTGACAACAGAGTTAGGGTAAACAAAAAAATTCACTAGAACTATTCAGTTCTTTTAAAAAGTGATATTCTTGCAAAAACTTGTGCTATCAGAATTTCCAAAGGATATTAATGATCTTTCTAGTCTTAACTTTGATCTTCCCTTTTGAATTTCTTTCTAGTCTTTTCTTTGATCTTCCCTTTTGAATTTCATCCAACTCATTCGTGTCTCAGTTATAGGTTCTATACATTTTAATATCTTAGATTATCTCATTCAACTCTAGATACTCTCATTTTAATTACTAAAATTTTGATATCTTACCACCGAATAGTCCATCATTTCATAACAGAAAGCATAGTAGAGCATATATGACAAAAAACACTGCCGACCTAAACAGATTACCCATAAATGATTTGATACCACTTGGATGAGGACAATTTACTCTTTGTCAAATTTAAATAAATTCAGAACTTCAGCTCAAGAACAGATATAAAATACTAAAGACTGCTTCAAATCAATTACCGCTATATCAGTGGAGATTTCACTAACCTATATGGCAAAACGGCTTGAATAGTACTTATTTGATTAGAGCTAATTAAACAAGCTCTACTAACATAAGTGCAGTCTAAAATAAGTTGAAATGCAATTAGTAAAGCATAAGTATTGAAAAGTATTGAAACAATTATAAAAACATAATAAGCGTAAAGAACCAGTTCAATCTAAAAGCTTAAGTTGTTGGATGAGGCTACAGTTAATAGTTTTATATTTCTCTAACACACTCCCTCACATGAGAGCCCATTGGGCTTGAAGGGTGGATGATGCATCAGGCTCAGCCTACCTGTGCTAAGAAATTCCACAAGAGAAAGTGGGGGGGGGGCGGTGAGGATCGAACCCGTGATACCGAAGCTCTGATACGATGTAAAGAACCAATTCAACCCAAAAGCTTAAGCTGTTGGGTGAAGCTACATTCAATGGTTTTATATTTCTCTAACAATAAGAAAACAAAATAAAAATGTGATGGAAAAATCCCTTCCCTCCCCCAGTGCACAAATAAAAGAAACAACAACAATTGCAGCCATCAATGTAAGATGAAGGAGGGAGACTGGCAGAAAAGTAACATACATGTCTGCTAGAATTAACCAATGGCAAAGTTCTTCAGGTGACACCATTTCTAAGTGTGGCAACAACACATCAGCCACCGCACGCTTAAGAGGAAACAATAAGTATCTAGAAGCAACATCAAACATTTCCTCAGCCTGTTCGAAACATAATATCAATATTACACAGCAGGACAAACCACTTTTAAGAAATATACATGGATGTATAAAAACCTGATCTGGATTTATATCCTGCAAACCATCCGTGTACCTGAGCCAACAAAGAAGGCACAATAAAATTCATGATAATCATATTTGCAGCAGAAAACTGATGTACAGATACACTTATATTCTCCCGGAAACTTCATCATGTTGATGGTACTATCACAGGAACATGCACAGACACAAAATGAGCAACAAAAGCATAAACCAACACATAAAATGGTCTGGCACAAAAACAATCATGCATTAACTTAAGGCAATTTAAATAGGTTACACTCAATCTTGACAAATTGGAATCACTCAACTAGAAAAAGTACTCAAGAAACTATCACATTTATATAAAATTTTACTACCCCACAACAGTTGATTGTGTTTGGTGAGCTTGTTACATATTCCAACTTGATACACAATAAATAGGCAAAACTTTTCACCCAAATATAAATATATGTAAATGAAATGTAAGAAAGAAGCATAAATCAGATAAACCAGAATCTATAGAACAACACACAGATGCTGATCGCTATTAGCCAAATCATCTCAGGTTACCATGGCAATTAATGCCATATTAAATCCATTCAATATTTTCTATTTCCAAATTTCACAGTCAAGGGAAGAGACTTACATATATTCAATCATTTTCTCAAATGCTGCCATGCTCAAGTCATGTTCTTCAAGGCAAGGAAGCAAGTCAACAGACAACTCATCTTTCCCTTCATGGAAGTCCTTCATACGTGACAATCTTGCTTTAAAATATTCTGACCTTGAGGCTAGAATAACTTTATGGCAGCGGAAAATTTTTCTATCAACTCTTGCACAAACATCAGCAAGATCGTCAAGAGATTTAGTCATCTGCATGGCACCCATCCTAGATACCAATTTATCAATTCCATCATCTTGACCATTTTCAAAAGTGGAATTTGAAAGGGCAGTCAGAAGGATTCGATGCAAGGCTGCAGGAAGCCTGTCTTCTTCAGGAAGGGATAGACCCTGTAAAATATACCGCTTTTGAGAATTATCTACATCTCCCAATGCTTTATACTCTGCATATTTTTGATGAATCACTTCTTTCTCAAGAACTTTCTGTAGTGATTCGCATTTGCACACTTTGCAGATTCTCACAAGATCTTCCATGTCATCCACGGCAATCTCCAATCTGTCTGAATAAAAGAAGTGTATGAGACTATAAAGTGCAGGATATGACAACTTTTCCCTCGAGAATCTTACTTCGCTGCGCTCTTTCCAATCAGTCTCAAATTTTTTCTTGAAAAATGGTGACCTTGCACTTAAAATGACTCTGTGAGCTTCAATAGGTCTTCCTTGTACAATAAAAACCACATCTGTAGGAAAGTTGCTGCAACTGAACCCCTGAGTGGATGAAATACCTATTCAATTATGACAGATATTGAGTTCCAAAGCATTTATATATGCAACATTATTTTTTTGAAAAACATTGCCACGAATAGCCATTTACTTTATAACAACCTAAGTCGAATTTCCTCTTCGCATCTGCTCCCTATCTCACATGAGAGAGAGAGAGAGAGAGATGATGGAGAATAAACAAGCTTTCTTTATCTGTCAATGTAGAGTTTTAGTAGTTGATTCTTAAATCTGTATTTTATTTAAGACTGTTAGAGATATATAAGACCATTAATGTAGCCTCAGCTAACAGCTTAAGCTTTTGGGTTGAATTGGTTCTTTACATGGTATCAGAGCTTCGGTGTCCCGGGTTCGATCATCGCCGCCCCCATTTTCTTTGTGGAACTTCTTAGCACAGGTAGGCTGAGCCTGATGCATCATCCACCTTTCAAGCCCAATAGACTCTCTTGTGAGGGGGCTTGTTAAAGATATATAAAACCATTAATGTAGCCTCACCCAACAGTTTAAACTTTTGAGTTGAATTGATTTTTTACAAAGACAACTAGTTACTCAAGAGTCATTGTTCTATGTATTTGATAAGTTGATTATGTCTAAGAAAGTCCAATATCATAATTCGGGGACCAAGCAATTAACATTAATATAGAAGTCAGTTCAAATAGGAAATAAAAACGCATATTTTCCGTTTTTATTTCCTACAGTTCAAAATCATTTATTCAGCCACTTAAGGGTTCAGTCAGTTCAAGATACATATTGTGCCTATATATAGTGATTCTGATAGACCACAATTAAAAGGGGAGTGTAGTAGGAAAAAGGGAAGGACCTCAGGAGATCCAAATTAAAAGATGCTGATGTGGACTGGCATGGAGTGTGTGAGTTTGTTAGGAATATTATAAAAGCTGTTAGGAGGAAATATATAGGGGAACCAACGGGTAGTGAGGGGTTATTGATGAATTTGGATAATTTTGGGTTATTCGGAGAAAACTGACCTCTCCAAGTGTTTGTGATGTATTTTTCTTTTCCATTTACTATTTCCATTGTTAACATGTAATTTTCCAGTTACTCTATACGAAATACAAGCATATCCATTTGTTGTAAATAATAATATTATTTTATTTATTAGTATATTCTATGTTTCTCTAGAATCTTCTTTGGGCTTAGTCCAATAGGTTATTCAGTCTCTTTAAATAGAGATCCCTTCGTACAATTGTAAAATACACTCCAATATAAAATTTACGATCTTACTCCAAGGTATGGGACTTGGAGTCCCACATTGAAAAAATAAGGTTCTGGTGTGGGGTTTATATAGATTTTGGACTCTCCTACCTCATGAGCTAGCTTTTGGAGTGAGGTTCTCCTAAGATTCGTATCAGTTGACATCAGAGCCTTCCACTATGTCTCCCAGTTACAATCGAGCGGCGCGAGTGATGACGTTGACATTGCAGTGTTCGTCTAGGGCTAGTAAAAGACTAGCGCAAAGCTAGCCCGTATGGGTGCCGGGGCTGCAGAGCGTAATGAAATGTTACAATCTTACTCCAAGGTATGGGACTTAGAGTCCCACATTGGAAATATAAGGTTCTGGTGTGAAGTTTATATGAATTTTGGGCTCTCCTACTTCATGAGCTAGCTTTTGGGGTGAGGTTCTCCCCAGGTTCGTATCATAATAGAATCCTTCTTTTCAAGTTGCTACACTATTCTCTGTTACTGTTACATTTTGTTTTCTCCATTTCCTCAAACGTAAGCTTTGGTACCAAATAAACCCAAATCAAATCCAGAGAGATGTGGGAATGGTAGGAACAAGGATGGAAGGAAGCTGGGGCAATATGTGGAAGAAAAGGACCAAACCGAAAGGAATCAGTTTGATGCTATTGTAGAACACCTGAAAGATCTCAAACAACTCTTCTTGGGTCACGAAAAGGGGAAGGCAACCCTCCTCATCTGAGAAGCCCCTGGAGTTAACTATGAAAGAATCCATGAAGACTTAGGGAAACCATGAAGGTATGTCATACAAGGGATGAACCAACAACAATAACTCCGACGAGAGTCCCAACATCGTACTGGATAATTCTAATACACGAGAGATCCATGGCCAGCGGTTGGAGCTCCCAATCTTCTTAGGCGAAGAAGACCATGAGGGTTGAATTTCTCTCATTGAACGCTATTTTCAAATCAAACAATGGAAGAAGAGAACAGTTGGGATTTGCCATAATTTGTTTTGAAGGAGCAACTCTTGGGCGATTCAAATACTACGAACAATGTGTATTTCAGTCGCGGACAGAACTGAAAGAGGAGCTTCCCAGGCGATTCTATCAGGCAAAAACCTGATCCTTAGAGGAATTAATTACTCTGAGACAAGTAGGGACTGTGGCGGAATCCTAAGAACGATTTGAAGCATTAGTGGCGATGGTGGATGGGATGACCGAGGAGTGGCTGAAGGGGGTATTCAAGGTGGGGCTAAACGATGAGATCCAAGTGGAAGTAAAGCTGTTAGAACCAAAAGATTTGGATGCCTTGATGCGGCTGGCCCAAGCTATGAAGGCACAAAATCAGGCCTCGAGAGGAAAGGCCTGTTTCTGTAGAATATTCTATAGTCTTTTTTAGAGTCTAGTCTCTTTGATTAGTGTGATGCCTCTTCGTTTGTTGTGTACTTTTATTTATTTATTACTTCAACTCCTTAACTACCTTGTAATCTGTATATATAGAACTCTTTGGGTGTCAATCAATATATGAAAAAACATTTCTATATGAAAAAACATTTTTGTCTTATATTGCATCATGGTATCAAGAGCAGGTTATCCTGTGGTCATCTTGTAAACCACCTCCACGTCCTCTCTTTTTTTCCATTTTTTTACACTGTTCGTATTCTATAACCCAGATCTCATATCTGGACCGCTCCAATCACGAAACCAAGGCCACCACTAGACTCAGAAGCCATTTCCGAGTCGACCCACGTCAGCCCCGTCGCCGGAAAGTCAGCCACGCGCCGCCACTGCAGAGCAGCCTCTCCGGCGCTTGTGAGCCACGCGCCGCCCTGCCGGTCTCCGTTTGACACGCGGCTTTCACAGATCAACTCGCCTGGCCTCCCTCTTCCTGTTCTGAGGGTTTAAATCACGATTGGAGCACTTTTTTGGCTGGGTCCTGTTGTTTCCTCTTTGTCAAGCTCATCAAGCTTTGTTCTGAACATTATTCTTTTTTTTTTAGCAATGGAAGATGAAAATAATGAGGCAACTAGCCATGTTGCTCAACAAGGTATGGCATTCCATGTTGATCGTAGTAGTCGTTGGATTCTTGATTCCGGAGCTTCTGATCATATGACAGGTAATGCAACCTTGTTCTATTCTTATACCCCTTATTATCACCAGTCACGAATAAGGACTGCTGATGGTAGTTTCTCTAATATTGCGGGAAAGGGATCCATTAAGCTCTCTGAACATATTACTCTGAATTCTGTCCTTCATGTCCCTTCTCTTACTTGCAACCTTATTTCTATTAGTAAACTTTCCTCTGAATTGCATTGTATTGCTAAATTCTCTGCCAAAACCTGTGTTTTTCAAGAACAGGATTCGGGGCTGATGATTGGCAGTGCTAGAGAGGAAGAAGGGCTTTACTATTTTGAAGAAGATTCTCATGAAAAGAGATTTTTTGCAAATCACTCTTTATGTTTATCAGATGATTGTAATGATGTTTTGTTGTGGCATCGTCGTTTAGGACATCCAAATTTCTTTTATCTTCAAAAGCTGCTTCCAAACTTATTTATCAATAAAAAACCAAGTTCCTTTTGTTGTGATGATTGTCAATTTGCAAAACACTCTCGTGTTTCTTATTCCCCCAGAGATTATCATGTTTCATCTCCATTTACATTGATTCATAGTGATATTTGGGGACCAGCTCGTGAAAAAAATATATCTGGAGCTCGTTGGTTTATTACCTTCATTGATGATCATTCCAGAGTATGCTGGGTATATCTTCTAAAGGATAAGTCTGAAGCTGCAGCCACTTTTAAAAACTTTCATGCTATGGTACAAACTCAATTCCAGACTTCTATCCAAATCCTGCGAACTGACAACGGTACTGAATATTTCAATTCTGTTCTTGGTGATTTCCTAACCAAGCAAGGTATTATCCATCAAAGTTCTTGTCCTAACACCCCTCAACAAAATGGGGTGGCTGAAAGAAAAAATAGACATCTCATTGAAGTTGCTAGAGCCCTCTTGTTTACAATGCATGTCCCTAAATACCTGTGGGGGAGGCTGTCTTGACTGCCTCATATCTCATCAATCGAATGCCCTCTCGTGTCCTGAATTTTCATTCTCTCATATCTTGCCTTACCCGCTCTTTTCCCTCCTTTCGGGCTCTATCTTACCTTCCTCCAAAATTGTTTGGCTGTGTGGTTTTTGTTCATATTCCTCCACATCAAAGGTCCAAACTTGATCCTAAGTCTGTTAGATGTGTCTTCATAGGATATCCTCCTAATCAAAAAGGTTACAAGTGCTACTCACCTTCTCTTCGAAAGGTCTTTGTTTCTATGGATGTTACTTTTTATGAAACACAATCATTTTTTCCCTCGACTTCTCTTCAGGGGGAGTCTATTAGTGTAAATGAAGACAAGTCTTGGATTCCAAATAATTCTACTGTCTTACCTTTACCCTTGGAAACATCTATTGTTCCTCTACCTTTGAAGACAGGGGGAGTTAATGTACAGGAGACAAGGACAGCAACTGTACCAGAGACTGGAGATCCTCCCGGTAAATGGGGAAAATTCTACAGCAGGCGTAAGTCTCCTCAAGATCCTCTAGACTGCCAGGATTCTGACCCGAGTCCTAGTTCCAGCAATCCACTTGAGAACACTGGTACAACTAACCTAGATATGTGTATTGCCCTTCGAAAGGGTACTAGATCTTGCACTGCTCATCCTATTTCTCATCACATTTCATATGAAAAGTTATCTCCAGGTTTTCGTGCTTTCAACACTATATTAGACGGTACAAAAATACCAAAAAATATCCAAGAGGCACTTAATGACCCTAAATGGAGGGATGCAGTCTTTGAAGAAATGGATGCACTCAGAAAAAATGGAACTTGGGAGTCCGTGGCACTTCCCAGAGGAAAGAAAACTGTAGGTTGCAAATGGGTATTCACAATAAAATTTAATGCAGATAACAGCATCAACAAATATAAGGCCAGATTGGTTGCCAAAGGATTTACTAAGACTTATGGGATAGACTATCAGGAGATGTTTGCTCCCGTTGCCAAACTTAACTCTATTCGAGTCCTACTGTCACTTACTGCCAACCTTGATTGGCCCTTGCATCAATTGGACGTAAAGAATGCCTTCTTAAATGGGGACTTACATGAGGAAGTTTACATGGATCCACCACCTGGTTTTGAGGAGGGAGATGGTTCAGTATGCATGTTGAAGAAGTCTCTTTATGGACTTAAACAATCCCCTAGAGAGTGGTTTGACAAGTTTACTCGTGCTGTTAAAGGAAGAGGATTTATCCAAGCTCAGATTGATCACACTTTATTTTTTAAACACTCCGATAGTGGTAAAATTGCTATCCTCATTGTTTATGTTGATGACATAATTGTCACAGGTGATGACTGGGAGGAAATAAAATCTTTAAAGGGGGGTTTAGCTAATCAGTTTGAACTGAAGGACCTTGGATCACTCAAATATTTCCTTGGAATGGAAGTTGCTCGTAGCAAGGCAGGAATCTTCTTATCTCAGAAGAAATATATCCTAGACCTGCTACAAGAAACAGGTATGCTTGGGTGCAAGCCTGCAGAAACTCCAGTTGAACCCAATATTAAATTGGGAATTGAAGATGGAGAAGATGTTGACAGGGAGTTGTACCAAAGGTTGGTAGGAAAGCTGATCTACTTATCTCACACTCGGCCTGATATTGCATTTGCAGTTAGCATGGTTAGCAAATTCATGCATTCTCCTAAGGAAAAACACCTTAGTGCGGTTTATAGAATCCTCAAGTACCTCAAAAACACCCCTGGTCGAGGAATGCTCTTTAAAAAAGGACACAAGAGGATGATATAAATCTATACAGATGCTGATTGGGCTGGCTCTGCAATGGACCGAAGATCCACTTCAGGATATTGTACCTATGTCTGGGGAAATCTTGTGACCTGGAGAAGTAAGAAACAAACTGTTGTTGCCAGAAGCAGTGCAGAAGCAGAATTTCGGGCGCTAGCCCATGGCATTTGTGAAGGAATCTGGTTAAGAAGACTCCTTGAAGAATTAAAGATATCTTATTCTCTACCTGTCAGACTCTATTGTGATAATAAGGCTGCTGTTAGTATTGCTCAAAATCCTGTTCATCATGATAGAACCAAACATGTGGAGGTTGATCGTCACTTTATCAAAGAAAAATTGGAGGAGGGTAGTGTATGTTTGTCATATATGCCTACCAAGGAGCAAACAGCCGACATTCTCACCAAAGGGTTACACAAACCCATCTTTGAGGATTTAATTAGCAAGTTGGGGATGATCAATATTTATCTCCCAACTTGAGGGGGAGTGTAGAATATTCTAGAGTCTTTTTTAGAGTCTAGTCTCTTTGATTAGTGTGATGCCTCTTCGTTTGTTGTGTACTTTTATTTATTTATTACTTCAACTCCTTAACTACCTTGTAATCTGTATATATAGAACTCTTTGGGTGTCAATCAATATATGAAAAAACATTTCTATATGAAAAAACATTTATGTCTTATATTTCATCAGTTTCCTTAATAGTCCACGGGTTGTCAATACGGGTTAGGGATTTTCAAAATGGTCGAATTGGGGGGAAATCAAATACCCATTCCCCTACCAAATAAGGGACAGGGATTTGAAAAGCAAGTTGAATCAAGGAGAAACCAAATACCCACGACCCTAACGAAACAAAACACTTATAAGTCTGCCAATACCAGTCTTTGCATCTTCTTCACAGTTCTTTCCTCAACAACAAAAACGTAATAATTTCCAGTACATCAGATGACATCAAACACAACAACCTCATGCGTTAGTTGCTACTCAATTAGGTCTGTTACCTACACCTACATTTGTATTGTTAATGGAATGGTTATCAAACTCTTGTGCATCCTATCATATAACTGGAGGACCTCAGAATCTTATTCAAAGTCAAGAATTTTCTAGTTTAGAACATATCCTTGTTGGCAATGGATAAGGTTTGCCCATTAAGGCTATTGATGCATCTTCCTTTACTTTTCCTTATGATTCTCAAACTCGTTTACATCTCAAAAATCTACTTCTAGTTCCTTCTATTACAAAGAATTTAAGTAGTGTGAGCAAATTTGCAAGGGACAATCTAGTTTACTTTGAATTTCATCCTAACGAGTGCATTGTTAAATCTTAGGTCACACATAAGGTTTGTTACAAGGTGCAGTGGTCTCTGATGGTCTTTATCACTTTCCTAACATCCATCTTCTCTAAGATAACATCTCAGAGGCAACTTCTGGGACAAGGAAACTTTGTTCTACTTCTAGTTCTGTCACGTCTTCAAAGTTAGTTGATGTAAACACAACAACGTAACTAGTAGTCATTTGTTCAGTGTAATAATCTTGTTTTTGCTAGTGTAAAAGGGAAAACTCGAACACACAAGGTTCCTTGACTTGCAAGGGTAGGGGTGAGGGTTGATTGTACACAGCCTTAACCATGCATTTTTTCCAAAGATGTTGTTTCCCAAACTCGAACCTGTGACCTTCCAATTACAAGGAGCGACCTTACCACTGCTACAAGGCTTGTCATCTAAAACCACTTCCCATTAAACCCCAACTAACAAGAGTAAGGGTGAGGACAGTCCTTGTACACATCCTCACCCTTGTATATTAGCAAAAAAAAAGTTTCCCAAATTCAAAACCCATGACCTTTTAATCACAAAGGAGTAGCTCTACCACCGCTCCAAGGTTTGCTCTTTTTTAATTATGATGACTACACACTCATCTATTTCTCTGTAGCATTGTCGCTTGGGACATCCACATCTAGAATCTCTCAAACATGTACTCAAAATCCTATAATATCCAATGCAATAATAATAAAATTTCTGAAAACTTCAGCTTGTTGTGTGGCAAAGTCACATGGACTCCCTCCCTCGTTCTCTCAAACTCTCTATGAAAAACCCTTTGAGCTAATATATTGTAATTTATTGGGACCTTCACCAATAAAATCAACTTTGGGCCATTCTTACTATGTTTCATTTGTGGGTTCTCACACAAGGTACACCTGGTTCTATCCATTAAAATAAAAATCAAAAGCTTTATCATTATTCAAACAATTTCACACCTTAATTACAAACCAATTCCAACTAGCTATCAAAGCACTTACATATAGGGGTGGAGAGTTCGGACCTTTTACCCAGTATCTTAATCTACATGGCATTGTTCATCGTGTAGCATGTCCTTATACACATCATCAGAATGGTGTTGTTGAACGAAAACATAGGCATATTGTTGAGACTGGTTTAACCTTGTTAGCTCTTTCTTCTCTTCCTATGCGACTTTGGGATTATGCCTTTATTTCTGCCACATATCTATTCAATAGACTGTCATCTGCTGCTATCAATTTTGAAGTTCCCTTTACTAAACCTCTTAAATAAATATTTGATTATAGCTTTCTCAAGGTATTTGGATGCATCTGATTTCCTTTCCTTAGGCCGTATAAAAACCACAAATTGTAATTCAGATCTAAGGCGTGTGTTTTCCTTGGCTACTCAGTTAATTACAAGGGTTAGCTCTGTTTGAGTTCAGAAGGCAGAGTCTTTATTTCCAAGGATGTTCTCTTTAATGAATCCAGGTTTCCCAACAGCTCTTGGCTAAAGTCTGAAACACCTCATAATTCTTCTTCTATCTTTTCTGCATCAGTATCTATTCCTAGTATTACGCAGAATAATTCCTAGTAATGGTGGGTTGATTAGACATCTCAAGTATTCTGGGAGAAAAAATTGGTTCGTAGGTTCTTTGGTTTGTTGTATTCCCATTGAACTTCTTGTGTATCTTTTTCACGGCAATAAAATTCCTGTTTTAAAGCTAACCGCCACAACAAAAAACAGCCACTAATCATTAACATTGAGACTCTGCCCTTACTTTCCATCTTTTTCTCCCTCCTCTTTCGTCACTCATTTTCATCCCACAATTGAAAAATCTGCTTTTTCACATACTATGGCTCACAAGCATAAATATGACACATAACAACCACAACAATAACAAAGGGCAACCTGGTACTATAAAGCTCCCACTCTAAGTAGGATCCAGGGAAGAGTCTATACCATAACAGCCAAGCTCAGCTTGCATTTGCAAAAAATTAATTATATTATGGGTTTATTGTTTCTTTGGTAACAATAAAACGACTTCATTTTGGGATTTTGCAATTTTGGGTTGGGGGGAAAGGTACTTTTAAAATTTTAATTTATTTCACCACTATATTAGTCTTATACATAACAATTTTTTCTATAAACCCCAAAATAATGCATTCTGGTGTACAGGAGAAACATTAAACCCCTACATGAACTGAACATGTGAATTGCAGGTCATGTGGAGAAAACACTAACAGTTGTGTAGAAAAGATAAAACTCAACCTAGCTCAAATTTGTTTCATTACAACCACAAGTAATAAAGATATGTTCATAAGAGGTCACATGTTCAATTCATGTAATGAGTCTAATATAAATGCAAGGTAATATATAGCACTAAAAAGGGCTATAAGTAAAGGGAAAAAAAAAAAGAAAAAGAAAAAGGTGTTATATATATATACCGGGAATTTGAAAGTAAGGATCAGCGAGGAGGTAGTAAGAGCGGTTAGCTTCGGAGGCCAAGAAAGTGTCCCTTAAAGAGGCCTGTAATGGGCCCAATGGCGGTGGACGGGCCTCGAACGCCTTTAGGAGTTTTCGGACCTTCAAATTCAGTGCGGCGTAGTGGCACCGGTCGCCGTCGAAGGTGTGTTCGGAGCATATGGCGCCGCTCTCCAGGAGCATGCGGGCGGCGTCGAGGTGGCCGGCGAGGCAGGCGTAGTAGAGTGCGACGGAGTCCCACTGGTCTCGCGCATTCACGTTCACGCCTGACTCCAGCAGGTACCGGAGACGCTCAACGTCGCCCGCACGTGACGCCTCGAATACGTCGCCGTTTGGGACCTTCTTCAGAGGAACCGATGACCCGAAATCCGACGGGTCAAGGTCGATGCCGTCGTCGATGAATGCCATCGGGTCGGGTTTTTTATTTGGATATTTGTGTAATTCGGATTGAGGAAATGAAACTATGGTTTAGTTTGGGTGTTGCTTGTTTGTGTTCTGGTTCGGTGGTTGGTAGTGTTGGTCTTTGTTTTCGGAGGTTTTAACAATCTTCTAAAACCATTATTTGGCAACTTTGATAGGGTGTGTTCTTCAATATTTGTGTTGATATTTAAATCGGGAAGGATATTGTAACAATCAAGTTGTGCTACTATCATGTTACTACCAATCAATTTCATCGTTAGATCAATTATGTTGATCCAACCGTTATATTTATTTCTATCTTTGTATGGTCATGATTTCTCAAATTTAATACTTTATATTTATTTCCAGCTTTGTATGGTTATGATTTTTTTATATTTATTTCCAGCTTTGTATGGTTATGATTTCTCATATTTAATGCTTTCACTTTAAATATGGAAAATCATGACCATACAAAGATAGAAATAAATATAATCGTTGGATCAACATAATCGATCTAACGATGAGATTAATTGGTAGTAACATGGTAATAACACAACTCGGTTGTTACAATATCCTTTCCCATTTAAAATTATTTAAAATATTTTCTCTTTTGATAACTTTTTTAAAATTCAAAATTTAAATTTCATATAGATAAAAAAGAGTTCAGTATTAATTGGTGACAAACATCTGTATTAATATCTCACTATTTTTTCAACATTCGAATTTTAAACATGATATAGGTATAAACATCTTTATAAACCCACACATGGAAACTTTGCTGACGTGTCGCTTTGTCCTTCATTCTTAGCTTTGTGTTCACACTGAAGATTAGTTTGAAAAGTTACCTCTTTTGGAAAAAATTTATTATTTAAAAATTAAAATATTAAAAAAAAGGTGGGATAATATTTGACATTCAAAATTCTTTAGTGGCAGACAACTGTATTAATGTCCCACTAATTTTTCAATTTTAAATTTTAAACATGAAGTGGGTGGGAATATATTTAAAATTCAAAATTCATTGGTGGCAGACATTTATATTAATGACCCACTACTTTGATTGTTAAGCTATTAATTATTACAATAAAAATTAGTTCAAAAAACGAGATACTTCCTCTATAAATAGGATGTGTTGTGATGTATATTTTCCTTTGGTAATCACCTTGTTTTAACATATTCAGACCTAAACCCACATTAATAATTAGAGACTTAATTATTCAAACTTACTTAAACACTCTTCATTTAGGTTTCCAGGTTTTAGTTATCAACTAACTTCAATTCCAACCACATTAAAACCAACATGGTTGAAACCCTAGCATATCAATTCACACATATTTTCATGCTTTTACAATACCAATCATGTTCCATTTAACCATCCATCATGCTTCAAAACATATACTTTTTGGGTTCGCTTTTTCTGCAGTTACTGCATATAATTTATCTGCAGTAAGCTCAATACGACGTCGTTATGGGGCTGAAATCATGATGTTTTTGTAATTTTGATTTATTTCAGGGTTATAATAATCTTTATATTTATATATTTTTAAGATTTCAATACCAAAACGACGTCGTTTTGGAAATAAATGTAGATAACTTATCTGCATTAACTGCAGAAACATTTTTCCCATACATTTTATGCAAAACCGTTACTTTATTGATTCTTTAAATATCAATTTATTTTCACAAGTTCAAACACTTACACCAATCATTCAATTATACTTTATTATACACCAAATACACATAACATCATTCAAAATGAATTAAACATCATGGATAAATGGCTGAAACATACACAATGCATTTCCATGACTTTTATGCATTCAAACTTTAATCCAATGACATCAAACACTCAAGTACTCATTGAATCCATGTTACAAACACTCATTTAATCATTTTACATACAAACCCCAATTTAATTAGGTTTGGCTGAATTGAATGTACACAAATGACCTATGTAATTCTTTATATTTTCATCACTTAAATCATCAACAAATCATCACAAAATCCTAATTCCATCATCATTCATACATAAACACATCATTATCATACACTTAGCATGCATAGTCAAAATTACAACTTAAAGCATCAACACTTTATATGCATTTTTCTTGACATATAAACTTTTAATTAAACATACAATCACCAATTAAACATCACACCACATCAACCAACATGTAAACATCATCTAACCATATCAAACCCTAATTTACTATTCATGGCCGAATCTTGAAGTTAGGGTTAGGTTACTTCCTTGCAATTTTTTAAGAATTCAAGATGTTATCTTTAATTTACATGATTAATCAACCAAAATTCATCAATATAGAAATTCATAACAAAACCACTTCAAAATTCATCATCAACATACATAGAAATTCATGTTGAATACAAGAACATAAATGTTCATAAATCATCATCCAATCAACAAAATTGACATCAATTACCTTTATATAGCTTCCTTTAGGTACTCTTAAGCTTTTCCAACACAAAAATCAAGTAAAAACTCATCTAAAACCTTTCAAAGGTAGCACTTATACTCAAACTTTAAGAGATGATATCGTACTCAAAACAATATTTTAATGTTATTTATGATTACATGTTTCAAACGCAGTGAGTAGTTATTCCTTTTTTATCTTGAATTTTTTAAAAACAAGTCATCTTTTAAAAGGGGAAAAGTATACTCCCAAACAAATAATTAATAACCAGATTAAATGGGATATTGATACATGGAAGAATAAAAAGTAGCATCCTGTAAAAAATGTATTAATTCAATTTATTTTGTTTATTAAAAGAATATCTTTAATTCACTTTCTTTGGCTTTGGAAGTCGTTTAACAATTATTTTTTCTTAGATTAGTGAGAAGAACAGTATTTTTAAATATAGGCATAATATAAATAATAAAAACTTAAATGAAAAATATATAAAATAGAAAAAAGATATACATAATAAATTTAATATAAAATTAGAGATTAAACAAAAAAATATTTAAAATTATAAAAATATATGTATAGATGATAAAAATAATTTATATATGAAATTTAAACAAAAAATAATAAATGACATATTTATACTTTAAACGAAAATAAATTAAAATTTTAATTTAAAAAATAATACAAAAAGAGGAAAATTTTCCGTTCAAGTATTTTTTTTTAAAATAATTAACATAAATTTTTAAATATATATGTATAACCAATTTAAAAATATTAACATTACAAATTAAAAGAGAAAAAATTATTTTTTAAAAAATATGTATAATTAATGAAAAATAAATTAAATTTTAAATTTTAAATTTAAATAAAAATTTAAAAATAACATCTATCATTTTGTAAAAAACAAATTATAAAAATTTAATTACTCTAAAAATGTAAACTTTAATTTAATATATAGGAAATAAATTAAACTTTCATTCTTTTGATATAAGAGTGTAATTAACACAATTTCCTATGTCGTGAATGAATAATAGAAACTATTACTTGGAGGATGTGCACATCCTTCTATGCATGTTTCCACTATTTTTCGTGTAGGAAAATTGTTAAGCTTGTTAATAATATTTATTATTATATCTATTGAGGGAAAAAATATTTAATATTTAAAATTTAAATTTTTAAATTTGAATTTTAAACTTGATAGGTGGAAAAAGAATGCAGCATTTAATGTTTTCCACTACTTTCTTCATGAGAAATTGTTAAGCACTTTCTTCATGAGAAATTGTTAAGAATATTAATAGTATTTATTATTATGCCTACTGGGATTAATTAATATACCTATTAGAATTAATTAATTTCATTGCTGCAAAAAATAAACCAAGCGTTAATTTTTCTAAAACTTTAAAAAATAAGTTTTACCGAAATAAGTTTAGCCCTCCACCATTGTTCCTTTAGGGCTTCATAGCAAGATGAAGTTCTTGATTTCTTTTAGAGATTAACCAACCACGATTGACAAAATTTTCAATTTCTTTCCCTGAGCATCGCATGGGTAATACTCTAGTTTTTTTAATAAGGGAAATATATCTTTGTATGAAATAAATATGCAGACATAAAACGTGGGTAGGACCAATATTTTTTTCATCTTTTTCTCTTTCCTTTAGGGGTCATTTTGTAAAGGGATAAATTTTAGATTCCCAGGAAACTCAAATTAGAATCTTGGGAATTAGAATAGTGAATAAGAATCTCATGAAATAATACTATCAGGAGGGTGGTATTCTTGGATTCTCACTTGGTGGAAATTTTTTACATAATTTATGGGACATAAGTAATCCCGCTTTAATATTTTCATAACTAAAATACCATCTCTTGTTAAAACCCTATTCGTGATACTCTGTTTCACAAAATCATGAGTTCCTCCCTTCCTTTCACGACTCCTTTATTGAGTTCCTCTTATCTTCATGCTGTATATATAGCCTCCTTTTTATATAAGCCTGTTTATTCGACTTTACAAAATTTAAACTTATTGAATTTTTTTGAAAAAAATCTTCCTACAAAAATTGTCTCAAATATATGATTGGTCATATAATTTTAAAATTTAATTAATTAGCTAAACTAAATTATTTTTTTGATAGACGTGCAATTGATAAAATTCCAAATAGCGTTGGTATTTCAAGTTTTTTTTTTAGGAGAGGCTATTAAATATTTTGGGAGTGGGCGAATTTCTTCATATATATATATATATATATATATATATATATTGTATTAATTTTTATAATGATTTTGAATTGAATAGTTATTAATCTTACTAATATTGAACTTGGTAATAAAAAGGGATTTAATAACTGGAAAAAAATTATTCAAGAATTTTCTTTAAATGCGAAAATTACGTATTGAGTTTGGATTCTTGTATCCATATTTCAAAAAGTTTTTGTGATTCTTTCCAAAGAAAGGAAATAAAAGATACGGTAGAGTTATAAAAGTTATTATATGAGGTCTACCCAATGTTAGATGCAAAGACGCATAATAGATCGATATGAACATAATGATGAGCTATCCCATAATAAACACAATTGTTGCTGATACTTTCTTCCCGGTCCTTTCTTCGATAACCCGAGCTTGAAGAAGGAAGAGATACGAGAGCCCTATGGAGAATGTGGTTAGAAGTCGATAATAG